GAATAGAGTCTCCGAAATTTCAATGATCACAGAATCGAACTTCTAAAGCTAAAAGTCTTCATCAATCCCTTTCTATGATCATTTTTCATCAAAGGCCAAAAAAGCGATATCCTCAACCGTAAAAGCACTGCGAAAATAGACTAGACCGTTTGAAAAATTATGGACTAAATCGGATCGTACAGTTTGGTCCGGACCGTAGATCGTTAAGAATGGTCTGGTCTGGTTCATGGTCTTTATTATATGATGTTTTGATCTCTTGGTCTGGTCTGGTCTACCGCGGTTTACCGGACCAAACCGTGGACCTAGTCGACTTCCCAATACGTGTTTGCAGCAAACTCGACCACTTTCTCGATCCCCCCAAAAAGACCCAAGTCTCAACCCTAATTTTGAGAAACTCGTCCCTCTTTCATTCACAACCACATTTCACCAGAGAGTAGAGACGATCGTTCCCCATACGACATTATGTTAATGTTTATGACGTTATGATGCAAGTTGGGAGGCTTTGACTTTGTATTTTTGTTGTTTACTGAGATTTAGGGTCTCAACATTTTCATGCATGTTGGGGTTTATATTTTAAAGCAAAAAAAAATCCTCGATTATTGATTTAAATTTTTGTGGTTGACTAAACAAATTGTTCATTTTTCGTTCATCGTGGTTTATCTGGACCGGACCGTACCAGACCAGACTGCACATGCGTGGTCTAGTCTAGACCGTATACTATGTGGTCTGGTCTCTGGTCCATACTCCAGCCTCTCGGTCTGGACCATAAACTGTATATATGATCTGGTCTGTACCAGACCGCACCGTTTCCCAGCACTACGTAAAACGTCTGTGGCACGATACAAACAGAAACATTCTTTACCATTTGTTCCTACGTCATGGCAGTAAGTGTTTAGTTGGTAGAATCCTCTAGTGTCTAGTGTTGAGTGAGGTATGGCGCGAACGGTGTAAGCGAGTCTATAGAGGCAAGCAACTTTCTGTTGGAGAGCTTATCAAGAAGATGTAGGGGGTGATGGAAGCTAAAGAGCTGGGCGACCTCAGGTTTGCTGAATCGGCTATTATACAGTCCTTGTGGTACAAAAGTAGTCCTGATGTAGTGTTGTAAATAATTACAAGTAGGACAGGTTTCGGGTTTATGGGTTTGCAGTGGGCTAGTGGTTGATTGTTGCTACTTGTCTATTGTAAACTTGTCCTTGATCGTATTTGATGAATAAAATTCCATCCATTCATCGGATTTTTTTTTCAAGTTTGGTCACTGATATTCAAGGTTAAAAAAGGCGCTAGGCGTAAGACGGACGTTGAGGCTTTGCCTAGCGCCTAGCTCGCCTAGGCGTAGACTAAGCGTGCCTAGGCGTTGGAAGAAAAATAGTTCTTTACACTGCATGATGAATTGAATAATAATATACAACACTTCCACACTTCAGTTAAAATGATTAATAACTTACTCAACACTTAATGACAAGAATATAACTCACGAATTCATAGAATCATAACTTAATAGCTCACAAAGTTCTTGAGCTATAGAAAATATTGATATAGAAAATTGATTTTGTAGTTGAAGTTGATTTTCTCCATTAATATTGACTTCCTAGCTCCATCTATTAATGGTTAGAAGAGACTTATATGTCGCCTCACTCCATTGACATGTTCATGTATCTAATTAGGCGTGAAACCCCTAGGCGAGGCATTTTGTCATTGCCTTGCGCCTAGGCGTGTCTAAGCGTAAGGTTAAGCATGCTTTTTCGAACCATGCTGATATTATTAAAAAGATTCAAGTTTGCCACAAAAAATATTTTATTCTATTCGTGGTCACTAAAATTACTTCAATAGTTCAAGTTTGGTCAATACGCAATAGTCGTTACCTTATGCCAATCCGTTAGTAAATACTCCTTGTAATACACGTATATGTACCCGTAGGTACTTTATCCGTTTAAAACTTATGTATCCGTATTATTCTCATACCGTTTCATTTTTTCCCGTTCATTTGACGACTCGCGCACTAAACACGTATAAAATCCGTATAACACGTTTATTATCCGTATTTTATGAATTAAACTGTTGATTTTAATATTATTTATTCATTTATTTATTTATTTTTAAAATAATTAATTTTATATACTTATGACTATTAACATACTATTAAACGTAACTTTAGCTTAGAGACGAAGTATAATACCCTTACATATTTTATGCATAACTTTTCCGTACCGTATTTTACTAACTATATTGCCAATCTCCATTAACTACATCTTTTTTTTATTGACGTAGTTAAAAAAATGCCTAGTCACCCAATTTTAACTAAAAAAAAACCCAACCAACCGTATTATAAAACCGCCACGTCATATACCAACCCGTGACCCACATCCAGAAACCCTGCCGCCACCTCCACCCATTGAGACCCCTCGCTTGCTGCCGCTTCTTTGCTATCGGGGACGTCGACGATGATGATGAACATGTCCTGCGGTCTAGCTTCAGAGAATCCTACATTTCAAATTTGATAGTGCCAATTAGGGGTGGGTAATGGGCGGGTTGGATGGGTTTTGATCTCAAATTGACCCAACCGCTTACTAGTGAGTTGGAATAATTGTGATCCGCAATCTACCCACATACTTCTGCGGGTTGGGTTGGGTGGATGACACATCACACATGAATGCGGTTGGATTGCGGATCAACCCGCAAAAGCAATTCTCCAACTAGCCGTTAAGAAAGTTGACTAATATTTATAATAAGTTCATAGCAAATTAGTAAGATTATATAAATAATTTATGATTTTGATACAATTAATAATTTATACTTTGCATCTCAACCTTTAATGGATATTAAGTTATTAACAATAATTTTCATACTTATTATACAATATCTAATGGATATTGCACACAATAACCAATAATAGTAGTCAAAACTATTCTTTATTCTCCACCTTTTGAAGTATATGATAGACTGTAGTGCAGTTCAAAAATATGATGAATATTATATACTATAGGAAGCAACATTTTTCATGTAAAAATATGATGCGGGTCATACGGGTGACCCGCAATCCACCCACCACCCATCCACATAAGAGCTGGTGTGAGATTTATCAATACGCAATCCACTCACATCAATCATCCACTGCGTATGGGTCTAGTTATTTGCAGGTGGATCAATATCAATCTGCGGATCAACCACACATGTGCCCGCCCCTAGTGCCATTGGCGATGAAATAAGGATGCACAAGAATGACAGCTCCCGTTGTAGCTCTCGTTGAAATTTGAATAAGCTGCCATCACAGTGAACCTTAGGGTTTTAAAGTCATGAACACAACAGAGATGATGAAGAATTCTAGGGTTTCATATTACAAAGAATCAAAGTAGAAAAGCAATCAAATCAAGAGAACAACCGAATTTGTGAACTCAGTCGAGTGAAGATCGACTAGAGAGTGAAGATCGATCGTCGGTGAAGCCGAACAGATCGTAGAAATAGATGACGAAAGGAGGCAAGGAGGAAAACGAATCAAACCCTCAATCTCCGCCTCAATCTATGTCGGCTTTGGAGCTGCAGTTGAAGTTCTAAGATCAGTTTTGCTTCAGAGAAAAATCATCGGGGACTATGTTGGAAATAAAATATTTATTTTCTAAATTTCTTTTGGTGGGTTTTTTTATTTGAGAAAATGGAGGGGTTTTTGGTTGAAGGCTAGGCTACAGAGAGAGGGAGTTGAAGACAAGAGAGGCTTTAGTGAAACAACACTATTTTGAAAACCCAAACCATAATTCAAATAAAAAACCGATTACTTCAGAGAAACCCAAATCACATTTTAAAGTCAAACTGAAAACCACCCAACGTTAATATTCAGAAATCCCAAAACAAAAGCCCTAAACACTTGGACAAATCCCAATCCAAAATACTTTAACCTTAATATTGAGCTTCCCAGTATACTCGTAAGTCATGAAAATAAAGACAATTGTGATAAATGGTTCTCCTCTCTATACCCTGAGCCCTTTGACAATTTCAAACTTGACGCGGCTGACCTACTTGATTAACCTGCTGGTACTGGTTACGTCCTCTTCCCCTTTCCACACCTAGGTAGTAAGAGGGGGTCGATCTCGTCGTTACTTACTAAGGTCTTTGCCTAAGTAAACTCTTACTGATACATTATTAGCAGTTACTTTCCTCTTACATGAAAGTCGTTCTCGCTTTCATCCTTAATACTTTAGTCCTTAATAACTTATAGAATTTCTCTACTTCTATCTTAACTCATAACTTATTATTAGGATCTATCACGTTACGTATCACCGTCAGGTGTCCCTATCCTCAAGGCAATGGTACAGCGTTACGTATCACTGTCCATCCATGCCTGGTCTACTACTGCGTTATGTATCGCCGTCTAGTAGTGACCCAACCATCTACCGCGTCCAGTAGTGGCCAACCCGCCCGGGGGTTCATCTTATATACAAACATACATCACATACATAGCACAACACGTGCCTCCACCTTAAGTAGGCGGTGGGATGCGTAACACACATAATCACGAATAACTCAAAATTAACGAAACTACTAAAAGTAAATACATAAACTAAAAGACCTCGACGGAGATTTTACCCCCTTTACACTCACCTCGAAAGACGATTCTCCGAACCTTACCCCAAAGAATTCCTTCCTCAACGTACTACCTCGATACCCTATAAACCGCACCAACTTTTAGAAATAACCCTTTTTCTAATATAGTTTCGCTTACCGATAATTTATAGAATAAATTAAACCTATTGAAAGTTCCAATTCACAATTTTTTCTAGTTGGCCAATGCATTGATCCCTAGGAAAAATATCCAATTTCTCGAAAACGCATTATATAATTTTATTTTATTTAAATACACACCTAATTAATTATTAAAAATAGATATTATCTCTAAAAATTCCCAAATTAATTCAAAGGCCTCCAATGACCTTCTTTAAATTTCTAAATAATAATAAAAAAATTTATCAAGCTTATAAGGGTGTCGAATAAATATAAATCTCTAAAAACACTATTCTAGAAATTTATGACGTTTTAGTGACCATCTGTTCGTCACGAAAATCCCAGAAACCCGTTACTAAATCTCTTGATTTGAAACTACAAGAAAACTCTTACAAAACTCAATCTTATCCAAAGGGAATCACGATTCCTTACCTCCAAAGCGAGCTTAAACCCAGTTGAACTTATTGGGACGAGGTCTAATTGAACCAAGCTCAATCCCCTTCTCAAAAGTATTAATCGCCAAATTAACTTCAAGGTTTAACAATCTATTGTTACTACTAGCGACTAAAAGAACGTAGGAACGACTAGAGACGAATATCCTTACCTTCCACTACAGGAAAATCAGCTTTTGATCACGGTAAATCCTGTGACTATATGGCCAAATCCCGTGATTAATTTAATTAGTCACAGGTACTTTCCCGTGACAAGCGTGCCCGTAATGGAAGATCTACCATTACGGGATATCCTGTGACCAAAAATAATCAATCACGGGAAATATCCCGTGATGATATTCCCCTTTAATCACAGGTAAAACCCGTAATTAAGTAACAACCACGGGAAATGCCCTGTGTTTAGAAACAACAATAACTACGGTATACCCCGTGACAAGTTGCAATGTTAACCATGATAAAATCCAGTTACTGTAATTAGCTATAATCATGGAATACTACTATTACTATTGATCATTGATGGATACAACATAGCGTCATTTCAATATCTAATTTGTGTACTTAAAATAAAAGATAAGACAACTATAATGTCATACTTAATAAAAAGATACAAATGTCAATGTGTACACGATAAAGGAGTAACAAAATTATGGTTAAGCACAGATAAAAAGACCATTGATTCCCACTAAATATCAACATTGCATGAAGAAAACTATGCAATAAGCATGCAGGTGGTCCTCGCAACGTTTCTCTTGAAATCTTGAGTTCCACTCTAACGACCACATGAAATTCCAAAAAACATAAACATAGTCACTATGAAGACTTAACCCAAAAACTGCTGCAAAAGCTTCATTGTTGAAGCATTGAAACAAACCGGAAAAAAGCAAGTCATATAGAGGAAACTGTAACACTAATCAATGCAAGCATTCAACACATTTTCATCATCAAGACTAAGCACTTCAGCAAATCAAATCACCCATGTTAATGTGCAAATCAACAATGATACGAAAATTTTGCTACGACATAAATTATAACTTGACCAGTAGAGTGACTACATTTTTCTTGCTGCCACAAAAATTGCAGCATGCTTGCAAGTTAAACTACCCCCATCCCATTACAAATTTACAATCTACAGCAAGTCCGATAACGCACAATTTCCGGAGAAATGCATTCGAAGACTTGCATAAAGCTTTTAAGGAATCCAAATGTCTAGAAACCCATGAGACCATTGATAAGCAAGCTGCAGAACTAAATGAAACTAACCTGTTTTTCTGGTATGTTGACCAAATTATTGTAAAATTGATGCTTTATCAAGTCCAGCTCAACCATCGATGCTGAAACTCAGACAGGACAACATGAGAAGGCATGATTCGCTAATAATATGAAATCAACTAATTAAGTGCTTTTCATCCCACAACCATATGAAGGGCCCAATTAGGCTAACACTACTGCTTGCAATCTCTCCCACTGCATTGGGGTTGCTTTATGCTCCCTTAGAAACAGAGTTCTAAGAACATAATCCTTTGCTTAACACTGCTACTTGATGAACCTAGAAAATCCAACTCCCTTAAATATGAATTCAAGCACATCTGGCCACCTCAGAGATAATGACTTTTTGGAATTTAACAACTTAAGCCAGAAAATAGATAAACGGGAAAATCAAGAGATCTGCACCCTAGATATAATGGAACCAAGATCCGAATCCTAGATAATGAATGGAGATGGATATATATCTGTCATGCCAATGCAAGCACCATTATCTCATCTAGCAAAAATTTGTGTGGAGGCACCAAAATATTGAAGTTTGAAAATAATAACTCGGAATCACAAAAGCATGAGTATGAGAGAACATAATGTCCACATCACTTATCACCACAAATCTCTGTAAAACGCCCAGAAAGTGAAAAGGAAAAGAAGGGTTACACAATAGCAGCAGACCTTTATCCACATATCCCCAGTTCCACCCAGTGTTGCTAAGAAGGGAATTAATCCCTCTCCAAAAATAGCAGTAATTCTTCAGAAGATGGAGGAGTTGGTTGCTCCGATGAGAGAAATCAAAACAAACCTGCAATATTGGAGTCCAATTTACAGAAAAAAGAAATCAACTATAGGAGGCAAATTGACTGAAACAAGAAATCCCTCAAGGGACGCGAAAAATGAGGTAGGAGAATGGGAGGGGTTGTGTCCCTTTGAGAAGCAAAAAACGAAACCATGCCGCCGCTACGCAGGTCAAATTTGACAGAGCAGTCAGTGATTGTTGCGATTTCGGTGTCCAGCAGAGGGGTGCAGCAGCGAGAATGATTCTATCTTTGACGAAGGTGATGATGGTGAGGAAGTGGTGAGCGCAGGGAGCGTTTGAGGCGATGGGACTGACGGCGACGTCGGAGGCGACTGGAGGAGAGTCTGCAAGGGAGGGGATTGCGACATAATGCTTAGATCTGAAGAGGTAGAAGAGAAGCCGTCGCATCTGCGTGTCGAGGAGGAGGACGAAACGGCTGGAAAACTGGGGATGGAATAGATCTAGAGTAGAGCTCCAAAATTGATTTGTCTTTGGGGGAGGGGAAAATTTGGTAAAGCTGAGTTTCAAGAAGATGTTGAAAACCCCAAATAATGGATGGCGGTAAGTTGAAAATTTTCAGGAGCCAAAACGTAGAGGGAGATAGCGCCAAACTTTGTTTTGGCTCCCGCCCACTGTGTTTTTCCCCTGTTCATCAATTGTCACAGGAAGCTATTCTTTAACAAACAACAGTTACGGGAAGATTTTCCCATGATAAAAAATATATGTTGATTACGGGAGCATACCCATAATCAAAAGTACCCGTGATTAAAGATCTATTTTCTTGTAGTATTCCTAAGACGTATGAAAGATTAGAAGTCGAGAGGAATGGGGAGTTGGGGAGATTTTTGTCGATATCTCGCTTTGCCGGTGAACGGGGAATAATCCAGCGGTTACTTCCTTCTCCTTCCTCTTTGCTCCTCTCCTCTCTTTCCTTCGTGTTCTGCTTGTTCAGAGCGTTTGGGGCGATTTGGGAGATGAAAATAGGTAAGCAGAAAAATTGACAACTCATATATCAGGTCGAACACGGGCACGGGACATGGTCGTGTTCTTACCCATGTTCGCCTCAAACGTCGTGCCTCGTTCCGCCAGTCCGTCGTCGTGTCCCGATACCTCAAGTGACACGACCAACCAACACGGACGTGCTTAGGCCGTGTTACGTTTCATCTCCAATTCTTCCAAAACGACTCGTCCACCAACCCCTAATCTTTAAAACGAGCATTTAATGGAACACGATCTAATGACACGGGCGTGTTCATTGATCGTGTTCAATCCTCCATTGTCTCATTTATAGCTACGTCAAAACGACACGCCTAACCAAACACGGCCTAGCAACACGGTCGTGTTTCGGGCCATGTTCTAGCATGTTCCTCCTTCAATGTTTAGCAACACGGCCTAGCAACCGTCTCCCAACTCTCTTTCGGTCAAACCTTAATCAAACCCAAATCCGAACTCAGGGTGTTACATTTCCTCCCCCCCCCCCCCTCTTTAAAACAATTTCGTCCCCGAAATTGGAACTGAGAGAAGGGAATGCAGACAACTGCTAAAAAGATGCTTAGATGCTTCATTTGATTGAACTGATCGACAAGGATATAACATTTCCCTCTCCCTAAAAAAAATTCGACATTGGAATTGTCCTCATAAGAAAGTCACATACGACTCTCAAACCACTTCTTCTTATTGTTACTGAATTACTAATCACGCTAAGGACGCATATCAATTACATGGTTTTGTTAAGTGAACAACATTGGATATTTCTCTCTCATGCAGCTCTCTGTCTCCCATGTTGCGGCCTCGCTGCCCTGGTTCTTCTATATGACCTTTACTGTAACGATCTTCTTCCTCCTAAAATCCTTCTCCTTCCTATCCACGATTTGTACTAGGACTTCCTCTTACATCAAATCATCCTCCAACTGGATGTCCTTCTCCTGATCACATGCTCCGGGTTGAACCGATATGCCCTTAGCATGCTAACATATAAAATGTCGTGGAACCTTGACAGGCTAGGGGGTAAGGCTAACCGATAGGCCAAAGTTCCCACACGTTCCAACACTTCGTATGGTCCAATGTACCTAGGACTGAGTTTTCCTCTTTTGCCAAATCGCATCACTCCCTTCCAAGGGGACACCATCAGAAAAACTCGATCTCCCACCTGATGTTGGCGGGGAACTCCAGGCCTCTCGACATTACTCTTCTGTTGATCCCGAGCTGCCTTCAAGTTTTTACGGATTGCCTCTATCTTTGATGCGGCGTTTTGCATCATCTCGGGGGCCTCTAACTATCTCACTCCTTCAGCATCCCAATACAACGAAGTGCGGCACTTCCTCCCATACAAAACCTCATATGGGGCTGCTTGTATCAAGCTATGCTACTGATTGTTATAAGTGAACTCTAGCAGGGGTAAATGTTCATCCCATGCACCCTCCATGGTCATAACGCAAGCCCTAAAAAGGTCATTCAGCGTCTGTATCGTCCTCTCAGATTGCCCATCGATCTGAGTATGATATGCAGTGGAAAAATACACCTTGGTGCCCATAGCCCTCTGTAGAGTAACCAAGAATCGCGATGTGAAGCTAGGATCACAATAAAAAATGATACTGAGTGGCACCCCCTGTAGCCTGACAATCTCTTTCACATACAACCTTACCAACTCCTCCATCCCCAGCTTAAATCGGATAGGGATAAAATGTGCCACCTTCGAAAAGCGATCAACGATCACCCAATTACCATCATTCCCTCTTGGGGTCCTTGGCAACCCATACACGAAATCCATAGTGACCTTACCCCATGTCCACTCCGGAATTTCTAGTGGTAAGTGTTGGATGAGTGGAACTTGATGCTCGACTTTAATCATTTGACACTCCAAACATTGGTAGACGTGAGTCGCGACCCCCTTCTTCGTGGCGGGCTACCAATAATGTTCCTTGAGTGTTCGATACATCTTGGTTGCCCCGAGATGCATCGTTTAAAGAGCAGAATGGGTCTCATCCAGGATATCTTCCCTCAACCTATCGACATTAGGTACACAAAGCCTTCCTTTAAACATCAATACTCCATCCACTATCCCAAACTTCGTGTCTTTCCCCACTAGTACCTGTTTCCGGTACTTCTAAAATTCCACATCACTACCCTGATTCTCCTTGATCCGTTCCTGCAACATGGGACGAATCTTTAGAGTCGCCAATAACTTTGTTGCCTCCACCAACTCTAACTCCACATTAATGGCTCTCAAAGAGACCAACTCCGATAGTGGGTTTTCCCTCTTCCGATTTAGAGCATCGACCACCACATTAACTTAACGGGGGCTGATATTTGATGGTTCAATCATAGTCGCTGAGAAGTTCTATCAATCTCATTTGTCTCATATTCAGCTCCTTCTGATTAGTCAAGTGCTGGAGACTCTTACGATCCGTGTAAATGGTAAAAGTCTCCCATAGAGGTAATGCCTCCACAACTTCAAGGAGAATACTACCGCGGCCAACTCCAAATCATGGGTGGGGTAGTTCACCTCATGAGGTCGTAGCTTCCTTGAAGCATATGCGATCACCTTCTTGTCCTGCATCAGTACACAACCCAGACCCTGGTAGGAAGCATCACTATAGATGGAATACTCTCATCCACTGGTCGGTAGTGCCAACACTGGTGTGGACATAAACTTCTCCTTCAGTAGCTCGAAAGATGCTTGACATTTTTCATCCCAGCCAATTGACTTCCCCTTCTGTAACAGTTGTGTCATCGGTCTGGCAATGCTAGAGAAACCTTGCACAACCCTCCGATAGTATCTCGCTAAATCCAGAAAACTCCGAACTTAGCCACATTCTTAGGTGGAACCCAATTCATCACCGCCTCGCTCTTCTTGGGATCAACCTCTACTCCTCGTCCAGAGACGACATGTCCCAAAAACAAGACTTCTTCGAGCCAAAACTCATACTTGGAGAATTTGGCATACAATTTCTCCTCTTTCAACTTCTGCAAGACCAACCTCAAATGCCTCTCATGTTCTTCCTGACTCTCCGAGTATATCAAGATGTCGTCAATGAAAACAATGACAAATTTATCCAAGTACTCATGAAGAACTCGGTTCATCAAGGCCATGAAGGTTGCTGGAGCATTGGTGAGTCCAAACGACATGACCAAATAGTGAGGAAAGACATAAGAGAAGAGGGAGAGTAGTGCTTATTATTTATATATATCATAGTATATGTGTGTATTTTATTTTTAGAAATGTGACAAGATAGTATAATAAAGCGACGTATTATTATGATACTAACACTAATAGAATTCGCTAGAAAAAGAGTAATTAATAGAAGAAAAACGCACACAAACAAAATTCCAAATATTGTAAACTTTTACTAGATTAGAGTCTGACCCATTAGTGAAATAAAAGATAAAATTCAACAATTTTACTTGTCGTATACCATTCATATTGAACAAGTTAAATATATTTATCACATTAGTAATATACTAAAACCATAAAAGAATGAGACAAATATATAATTTACACTTCTTGCTAGTAATTTTGATTATAAATCTTAGCTTTTTATTTCAAATGTAATGGATAGTATCATTTTGATTTATACATTTGAAATAAGGGATGAACATTTACGTCAATTGCATTCAAATATTTTAGTGAAAATTCACTAAAGCCCAAGAATCTACAATGTCTTTATTCAAAGTCATACAAAATCCTATTAGTATTATTTTTATACGTATATGATATATATGCAATTTGTGGTTAATTTGATACATTATTCTCTTTTATATGCGAGTAGCAAAATTATGGGTAAAAATCTAATTTTTAGTCTTATCCAATAATGTGCACTTTCAAAATCAATGTACAATGAATCTTACTTTGGATCCTTTTTTTTTTCTTCTGAATATAGTAAGCAATGAGAATTGAACTCAGAACTACACAATGCAAAATCTTATTCATCAACACTTGAGCTATCCTTGGTGGCTCATTTGAAGTTTTCAAGTCTTTTTTTTTTTTAAGTTTTCAAGTCTTGTGGCATAAGTTTTTCAAAAGTTCTTAATTGTGATATTTATATTGTCGTCATTAATATTTACCCAACGGAAATAACTTAGCCCAAACATAGGACCCTTCTTTACAAAGTAATGGTCATATAATTTCACTTAGTTTTAAGAATCAAACTTGTAGAATACGTGTTGTATACAAATAACCTTATAAATATGATAAATGAACAAGAATAATAAAGAAATGATCATCTGGATTCAAGTGTTGTGCTTGACTCGTTGCTAGAATTCATATTATAAATATGTACCAGAAACACACCACTATAACAAAAAACACAGAAACATTAGAAAGCATACCAGAAACACACCACTATAACAAAAAACACAGAAACATTAGAAAGCATACCAGAAACACTAGAATTCATAATATGAACACTGGAGTACGAGCAGAAACTAATGAATGCTTATTAGTATTGCTTGGATACGTGCTAGTAACAGCTAAGTGCATACCAGTATCGAATGATGTTTGTTTCTTTGCTAAAATTATATAAAATAGGATGTCATCCAAAAAGTTAAAGTTAAGTTAAAAGGAAGCGTTTTAATTCCTTAAAAATAATGGGAGTGGGTTATCCAAATAGTAGAAGGTAAATTTTTGTCATTAAATTAATCTTAAGGGCTATTATTTGTGCTAGCGCCTATCATGACACTATAAAGTGGCATCTCTATGTAGGGTTCATTTGGATGGGTCATTCCCAAAATGAGGCAATTTGGATCAAAAGATCTATTTTAGAAAATGAGTCAATTTGGTGAGGAAATCTACCAAGAATGTGTCGTTTGGTATAGACTGTGAGATGGAGAAATTCTGGTGAGTCAATTTGGTGAAATACCAATTTACCCTTATCTTCTGCAAGTTTCTCGTCTTGTTTACCGCAATTTTTTCGTCCCTGCTTCTGGGTTTCTTTCTGTCGAGTTCTTCATTTTCAAAATTATACTTAAATCCTCTTGGATTCACCATATCCCTCACATGCAATCAGTTTCTGCTATCATACCCACAAAACAAAATGGAAATTTTTCACAGAGAGTCAGAGATCAAGACGGAGAGGAGAAAGAAGGCGAGGTAAGAAGAAGAAGCCTTTTTCCTCATAGATCCCCCTAATTAAGAAACAGAGCAATGGAAAACAACCCCAAACCAGGGAGAAGGCTACCAATCAAGCAATCGATTTCCCTTGAATAAAATGAAACCCCCTAATAGCAGAGCATCCAAAATTTGAACCTAAGCTTGACTGAATTGATGAAAAACCTATCGAAAAATAAGAAGAATCCAGATCGACCCACAACTCAATTACATGCAGAACTCCCAATTGATTTCCGAATATTCAAAATCGCAATCCCAATCGAGCAACAAACCCAGGTCCTCTCTTCCCTCTTCATCGACTAACTTTACCCTTTATCAGATGGGTTCTCGTAAAGAGAACGAAACAATCAAGCTTCCCTTTCGTCGTCGTTATATTGTCCGCAAGAGAGAAAAGGAGGAAATAGAGGAGAAGGGAGAAGATTTGTTCGGAAAATCGTTTGCCAAGAGAGAAAAAGGAAAGAGAAGAAGAGAGGAGGAAGGGTTTAATTGTTGCAGAGAAAGGAAAGGGATGGGTTGGGGGATTGCTAATCGTCGCCCTAAAAATTCTTATTTATCGCCCTAATTATATTAAATTTACTATAATGTCCTTAGTTTATTTTTTTTTCCTATCAAACACTTAATTCTGAAACAAACACATACATAGTTACATACGTCCACCAGTCGCCGAAGCCGGAGGAAACATTTTTGGAAACCCACACCCAACATCACCATTTGAGGGGTTTACTGTTCATCGCCGCCGTGCCATCTCATCTCCCGGTAGATGTCCTGATAATACGGGCGAATCAAGGGAATTTCGAGTAATTGTTGCAGGAGAGAAACGGTGGGGCAAGGTGTTTGACCAATGGTCTCAATTCTCAAACTCTCAACGAAGGTAAATAGTTTGGTGCATCAAAATGATCTTTTATTTTATTAAAAGGAGCCAGCTTTTGCATTGCTCTGAATTTTGATAGGCGATAGCTTGGGGATTTGGAATTTTTTGTTTTTTGTTTTTTTGTCCAGTGGGTTGCAGGAACAAGACTTGTTTCACCACCGAGATCGGAGCCTATCTGCTGTACTTAGTTGCCAACTTGCCGTGACGAAAACGAGCTGGACATGTTCAATGCGGCGCGGGTGGAATACAACATGGCGGGGAGCGGATACGGCAGTAGGACATCGTGGCGGGAGAAGTTATGTTCAATGCGGCGCGGGTGGAATACAACATGGCGGGGAGCGAATCCGGCAGCAGGACATTGTTGCTAGGTTTTAGTTTGTTTGAAGTTAGGGGTATAAATGTCAATTTAGTGTGGTTTAGGGCGATTTATTTTGAATATTAGGGCGACGAATAGCAATTCAGATGGGTTGTCTCTGGAGAGAGAGAGAGAGAGAGGGTGAAAAAGGGTCAGAATTGGAAGGTGGGAATGAAAACGCGTTAATTGAGAATATCTGCCCCATAACGGTGCAATTTTAATTCCCCCACTCCAAATTGTTCCGTTTTCATTTTATCCAGCCAAATGAGTTAATTTATTCCAATTGTCTCATTTTGAGCCAATTGGATCACATTACCTCATCAAAAAGACTCATCCAAACGACCCCGTAGTATTTAATCTAATAATCCACATTCAAATTATTATTTCCATATTAATTTAATTTATTTTCAAAATATCTTATGTTAAAAGGTGGATAAATTAAAAATGCACAAAGATTATTCACGGGCTCATGCTAGGGATGGCAATTGGGCTGCTTTGGGTGAGTTTCTCTAAACCATTCTCATTATCGAATAATCAAAGGTACACTCATCTCATATTCATGTTGGGGAGGTTTTGTACGCCTGTCATCATAGTCGCGGTTTTCAAGTATCCATAATACCCGTTCATGCATCCAACATTACTATTTTAACATGTAGATTTAATTATAACACTAAACGGACGTAACAAATCATAAAATCAACAAAGAGACAACTATTTTAATACGAATTTAACAAATTCAATCGTAAAACTCCAATTATCCATAAGAAAAGGTTCAATATTTACCAAATTATTAATCTACGAGTTTGACATATTGACTAAGCAATAAATAACTAAATTAATCTTGTTACAAGGATAAAGTAATAGAGTAAAGAGCGAATTGGAAGGAAAGAAATTAATGTTTGGTTTGATTGACCACTCAATTATATTTCAACTCTTTATTTATTTTGATTATCCTTCTTTCCATTGACATGTTACATTTTGATTTTTCTAATATATTTTGAATAAATAGTCTTGGTAAGACCGATATGTGTATGGTATATAGGGCAGAGAGGCTAAAATTATACTCGTCTCATCCCCATCAGACCTATCGTAAATTTTACTCGTACACGTCTCATACTTAGTAAATGTAGGGATTTCCCGCGAGCGATTAGGTATTGTGGTTTGTCATCCCTGCTCGGGGCCTAAAAATAAAAGCAACAAAACATAGAATTTCTTCTCCCTTGAAGCCAATTGTACTTTCTGATGATAAAACCGCAACATTCATATCCATACCTCTAGGTTTGTTAATGAACCAAGCCGCTCACGAACGACTCTACGTCCGACTCGAGAAAAACTCGTTCGACGCTCGATTCGTCTTAATTGAGCCGGCTCGCGAACAATTTCATTAACTTAACGAGCCGAACTCGAGCCATACTATGTTCAGCTTTAAAGCTCGTGAACAAGCTCATTTAACGGTTTGGCATCATAAAGAATTGAAATTCATGGACTTTAGGCATAGAAATTAAGATAAATATTGTGTTATATTTTCCTTTGCTTTGCTGCTATAGGTTAGAATGTAATTTTGTGCTCAATTCTAGCTCAATCTTAAACTATCATGAACATTTTACGAGCTAAAGTCGATTTTGGACTCGTTAAACTTATTTCATGAGCCGAGCTCGAGTCGAGCTAGAGCTTTCATTTTCATAAACGAGCCAAACTCGAACTTGCATAATAAATCTCATAACGAACTCGAACCGAGCTCGAGTTTGCAAATATTTAAACGAACCGAGCCCAAACTATGACAAGGTTCGGCTCAGCTCGCTCGGATTATTAACAGCCCTACGTCTACCTGTGGCTGTCTGCATCATCCCCTCAATAAAATACTTCTCCCTCTTTCCGGAGATGAACTTGATTGGAGGATCTTCTCTTGTGCTACTACAAGCCCTTCTGGCATTTACACAAGCATTTGGCGGGCAATCAGGCTACCACGGTGGTAATGGCGAGATTCAGGGTAAGAAGTATCATGATGGCAAACCACCAGGCCACAATGTCAATTGTCAAACCCATACATCACAAGAAATCATATCCAACGCATCATGGAGGAAGTCCGCATCGTGGTCAACATCCTCCTCCACCCACTCGTCTCGCTATCCTGTCGACAAACCGAGACATAGTCTATTAGTCTTCATGCCCACCAACCTCTAGGTCGATGGATGACCGGCCATGCCACATTCTACGGTGTTGGCGAGGCCTCTGGTACGGCACTATGGGTAAGTTTTAGCATCGTTTAAAAAGATAACTACAAAAAGACTCTGTGAACGTAAATTCTATCTCCTGGACTCTTCATGATTCTACGTTTGGCTAATGGAGTTCCAAACGGCTGAGAACTTGGAAAATCAAGCAATGTCTCATACCTTTACCAAACACAAATTGTATACATGTTTCATATGTAATAAAACACCTCCTCTTAAACAGGAAGGGCCTGTGGATACGGGGATATGTACAGAGCGAAGGCTATGGCACAAAGACAGCAGCTTTAAGCACAGCCCTGTTCAACGATGGCAAATCCTGCGGACCATGCTTCCAGCTGAAATGCACACACGACCCACATTGGTGTCTCCACCCAGTGGAGGGCTAGGATGGTGCAATGCGCCCAACAAGCATTTCAATGTCAGCCAGCTGATCTTCCAGCACATGGTTGCTTACAAGGCAGGGATAGTCCCAGTTATGTCCAGGAGGATCGCCTGCAAGAGAAAAAGAGGGATCAAGTTCACCATTGCTGGGAATGCTTACTTCAACCTTGTGCTTGTGACGAACGTCGGTGGTGCTGGAGATGTAGTGGCCATGTGGGTCAAGGGCTCAAACCATGGTGAAAAGTGGCTGCCCATGGTGAGGAACTGGGGCCAGAATTGGCAGACCAATGGTTACCTGCAAGGGCAAGGGTTGTCTTTCAAGGTTATGTCTAGTAATGGGCATACTGTCACTTCACTCAATGTTGCTCCTAAGAACTGGAATTTTGGGCAGACTTTTGCTGGCAGGCAGTTTGGGCAGCCTCACCCTGGCCGCCAAATAAGGAAATGAAATGAAACACAGAAGAAACATCAGATATATATTGTACTTGATAGGCTATTTGATTATTGGTATAGATCGTCTGCTGATAACTTTTCTTGTACATAATCAAGTTATACAGATTCTTCACTCATGGGAAGTTTGGAACTGCTATCAAAGAGTTCATTACTGCATTAGGCTACAAGAGTATGGAAACTAAACAATTTCATTCATACACATAAACATGAAAACTTGTGGCATGAACCAAAACATGTGGCATTTCACAAGAAGGGTTCATGCCTCAATTCTTTCAACCAATGTCTCGCAATTCCATAAGTGAGAAGAACTGCAATTTCACTTGTGGGCATGTGTGAATGGCAAATCTGGCATATTCTCAAACATTCATTCACTTGAAAACACATACAAAGTTTACTATCAAGTTTCTGATTTCGCCTAAAACTGACATTTGACATATACTCAACATCTCGAATGCTACATTCCACCAATTTACTAATCTCACGCCTAATCCAACCACCCCCTTCATCCATGTGAACTCCCAAACAACCAAATTACATTCCATAGAATTACTTATCGCCTCTAAGAATCCGCTTGTATAGCCTCTTCTAAACTCTGCTCCTCTGCCGCCAATCTTAGAAGCTGCACCAATCTGGAGAAGAAAAAAACTCTATACAGTAACGCAGAGCACCATTCTGTTAGTTTAAATCGCACCTTAATGCAGTAGAATAGCGGCTCCTAACGAACAGACGAAGTCAACAAGAAAAAAAAAAAAAAACCATTCACAAACGATTGCATAACCCTAATAAGATCGACCTTAGAAACCAAGTTCTGCATATGGAAAAAAAAAAAACGAAAAAGACGCGAACTTTATATTTTATTTTAAAAGGGTTTTGGGGGGTTTAGCCCGCGACGTCATCATAGCCGAGTCGAGAGATTTCCATCGACGATGGGCTCAGCCTGCGGGCAGTCTTCACCGCGGGATTGACGAACCTCGACAGCAAGCCAAAATGGGAACACCGCCACCGTTATCCTACCCCCGCAAAGAGCCGCCAACAAAGACCATCTGAGATGGGCAGGGTAGCTCGAGAAAGCGACGGAGAGAAACCAGAGACGGAGCAGAGTTGCCGATTAGGCGACTGAGAGATTCGTTTCCCGCTCAGATAAGATCAAGTAGTGTTGATTTGCGGATGGGATGGAAGTTCTGTTTTTATAGAGGCGATCACATGTTAGAACCCTAAAATCTCAGTCTTGAAATTCCTACTGGATCGGATCCGACGATTTTCAATAGAGGTCGACATTTTGGGCCCGGCGCATCTAGTCATCTACTCATGCTCGTTGGGCTTTGGAAAAGATCTCAATTTAACTTTTTGGAATATAATAGAGATTTTGATAACGGTTCTGAGCTATATATGTCGAATTCTACGGGTTAGCGACTCGAGAGTACATCTATTTGAACCCGTTCTGTCAGGTAGGGCTGGTAGCCGGTAATCCGGTTAATGGTTTAACCGATAACCGTACCGATTAATTGTTAACCGATGGTATCGGTGTAAGGTAGATGAAACCCAACTGTCGGTATACCGATCTATACCCGATAAGTAATCGCAGGTTACTCGGTATAACCGAGTATATCGATATAGGCAAAAACCCTCCCCTGTCGATCAGTTCACTCATCTTCCTCTACCCTGTTTGCTCCTCTCTCCATCTCCCTCAAAAAAAATTCTCTCTTTCCTCCACAAACAGAACCTTCACCATGAGAGATTCTATGAAATCCCCTCATCTCTTTCTCGATTTGTTCATCTGGACCATGCCGTCGCCGGAGAGAGGGCAGGAGCGATGGATTTGCTGCTCGCCCAGCCACCGCCTTTATGGACTCCTCTTTCGCCGCCGCCGTTGTGAAGACCTTGTTGTCGATTCGGTGACTCATTCTCCCTCTCGAACCCAGAACACGATCCGGCGACTCCCTCTCCCTCTTGATTCCAGATCCGGCACCATGAAAATCCCTCGCGCGGTGGCTCTATCTTCCTCTCGAGGTCAGATTTGGTGTGTTTCTGTCTCCCTCTCGCGGCAGTTCTCACTCCGTCTCGATTCCAAATCCGGAGTCATCACTGTCTCCCCCAACTCTCTTCAGCCAGCCAACAACCCTAAGGAAGAGGCGCCGCAGATTGAGACCACCACCAGTCCATTACAAGCCGCCATAAAGGGTTGCCATCACCACTGTCGGGCGTCGGTAGATACTCAAAGACCGATCTCTAGTTTTGGGAGAGCAACGAGGGACAAGGTTGCTGGCGGAGGTCGATCTCTGCTCTTCCTCCCTCACTGTCAATCAATCCCATCGCCAGCGCTCCTTCGCTCGCTAGTGAGGTAAAGCTCACTGTCGGCGTTCCCCGTCTTAGCCAGCCCCCTTCTGGCGGCAAGGGCGATTCTGGCGGGGACATCTCCGATATCCGATTGACAGTCGTCGGAGAGGTTTCGAGAGGAGAACGATGGCAAGCCTGAAAAATACACAAATTTCGATTTCATAATCCTTCTCCTCCATTCTAATTCAACCTTACCATATATCAATCAAAGCATTGGTACGAGAAATTTGGGAATTACATGTAGAAATAGACATGCAACGGATGACGAACAGGTGGAGCTACGAACGCGAGCAGAAAGGAGAGTTTGGAATAAGAAGGTTTCACTGGCGGAAATGCCAGAGAGGCAGAGGACGGGAGGAAGACCTTCGGAAGAGTGACCCATCGCAAGACTCTCTCGTGTGTGGTTATTTTCGGTATACCGGCTTGGTAACCGGTAACCGACCAGCATTAGCGTGGGGACGAGGTATGATATCTATTTCTGACTAGTCATGCTTCGTTTCTTTCTTAGCTCATTATATCTTAATTTCTAACAATATTTATTTAAATTTCTCCTATATTTTTCTTCAATTAGTTAAACTTGATTTTTCAACTAATTAGACTCAGTTACCCATTATATTACTATCTTCATTCATAAAGTATGTTCGCTTCGTTTTATTGTAAAAAGTACAATTTTTAACGTGTATTTTTTCAAATAGCATGTAAGAGTGGGTCGACCCGCCCTACCCCGTACCTGCATTGGTATTACATACACGACCCATGCTTGGTGCGGAGCGGATATAGGTATTGAGATACCCGCCCAATTGATGACACACAGATTTTAGTGTTTATCACTCCCATATTTGATATATTTCCTCTTCTATCAATGCATCTTTAGTAGTTTTGATTATATTTCATATGGAAACTATTTAATTAATATGTTTATAATAGATCTTGAGTATGTTTTTGTACTATGTGATGCCTTGTTTGTTTTATTTTCAAGGATATAAATCACCCGAGATGAATATGGATCGTCAAGAGACCTAATGGATCAGAAGGAGAACTAGAATACAAGCTCATTGCCCCAAACATAGATGGATTCTAACACAAGAAGCTCAACTTATGGACCAGATGATAGTATTTTGAAGAGCATACGGGTACTACGAAGTCCGATTGAGATGAAATTTCGGAAACATGTCCATGAGCGCAAGATAAAGTTGCCCAAAGAATGTGTCGATTTTGAGAAGAATTGAGAGCAGCAAGTCCAACTGCCGCTTGGCCCAAGTCCTTTAGGAAACTTCATCAATAAGTAGCTTTGTCCCCAAGTTGAAGGAAACCGACTTCAAGTCGGATAAGGAAGGTTTTGGATGACTTCTAGGAGGAAAAAGACTAGCCCCTCCCCCCCTGTAACTAGTATAAATAGGAGGCTAGACTAGAGGTTATGTGCACACTTTACAACCACTCTACCCTAGGGCATGAGTTACAAAGCCAAGGAGAGGAGGAGGAGCTCGATGAGGATGGCTTCATCATCTACGGTGATGTCTTCTAATCCTTCTTTGTTTAGCTAGCTCGATCTGTTGAGGGATGCAATTCGATGATGCTTTGTGTATTATCTCTATGATTTAATGAGATGCTTATTGTATAAGTATTCTTATCATTGATGCTTGATGTCAATCTATGCTTATTTCAGCTATTGCTTGAGTTATTCGGTGCTATGATTATTATATGCTTTGGTTGATCGATGCTTATGATTCTATTATGAATGCTACTATAGTATCTCATTTACTACTCTTATGGGCAACAAGGAAACTAATCTCGTGTAGTAGGCATCTTCTTATGTGTGTATAGGAGGACTACCTACCCTTCTATGCATGACTAAGAATGATGCTTGATTCTTAGATCATTGATGATATAGACCATCCTTATGGTTCATAAAAGACCACAATTAAATGTTTGCTATCGTAACTTCGTTGTTCTTCATTGATTAGATTATGGCATGAAGCGACAACATACTTTAGCTAGGCAAATCTCTATCGCAAGCCTTAGTGGAAGGGATAGGGCATCTTTAAGAACAAACATTGAAGCATCTTGTTGATGAGAATGAGTGAATGATCACCTAGAGTTACTTCCTAAACATTATATTTTGTTACTTCCATTAATTGTTTGTTTTCTTGTTTACTTGCCTTATATGTTCCTTTGTTTGCATAGTAGAGCAGTTGCACGAATAGGGCACCTAAACCCGCATCATATTTACTTTTCCTTGCATCTAAATTTGAGCTCAATAGGTTAGGTTAGATCAGTTACAATCAAAAGATCTCATGAAATACAACCCTAGGGCATCCTAGGATTTATAGTTCGATTGCTACATCACTAGCCCCACCCATTTTCCATCACTAATTTTGGGTTGTTCCCGTCGCTAACTTCTAGGAAACTACGACGAAATGTCATCATCATTTTCCCTACACAAGAATCACATTATTTAGGATTCTTTTTGGGTCGGTTTACTTTTCAAAGTCGTGGGTATCCCTCAAGCACGTTTCCCCAAAAAATACATATACATTTGTGGGTTCCTGACTCGCTATGACACAACACCTAACAATGGCCAAGCGTAACCAATGGAAGGGACTGCAGTATAGTGGCTCAAGTGATAAATATCGAATCCACGGGTCTCTAGAGTTACTATTACTCAGCTTCAGTTTATTATTTAGCAAACCAGATCAAGATGAAAGAACTAAAACTACTCTAGCAAACTACAGTTAAAGTTAATCTAATTACAGGTTGGGAACTCACTTAGGTATGATTCCCCCTAGCCACTAGCCAGACTAACGATTGATGATTTCTAACTTTTTTCACTTTCATTCACAACGCGGAGAATCCCTGACTAGACCTTGAGTCTCGACTAAAGGAACAAGGCCCTCTTGAGTCAATTGCCTAGAGGGACGTATCCTTCTCTAGAACAACTGATCAAGGCGTTCTGAACTAGACTCCCTCTACCGAAAGAGATTCTCAATCGATATAAAGCAGTGAATCAACCCTCGACTAAAGCAATCGATCCACTACTATCAATCTATGGTGCTCTATTGACCTAATCAGGTATTCCCTCTCATAGGATCAAAGCAGAATCAATAATCTCGACTAAAGCAGAATTGAATCATGAAAACATGCATAGATTGAATATGAACTCAAGATAATCAAGTCAGAGTACTCATACAATCATCCAATCAAACAAACATAGCTAGGGTTCCTCAAAACCTAAGTGAAGGGAAGTTACTCCATAGAGAAGAGAGAGACTGCAGTAAGAATCTTCAGATGATCAGTCTTCAAGTCCGGGATTCTTCCTCGAGCTTCCAAGGCAAAGAAATCCTCCAATTACACTCCAAGAATGCCCTCAAATCGCCCTCTCTCTCTTTGGTTCGTCCCTTGGGTGTTTGGGATCCAAAACCCAGCTCTCCCCTTTCCTTTTAGCTGAAAATCTGCTTAAAAGGGCATCAGTGGCCAAAGCACGGTCGAGGGCACGGCCGTGTAATGCCTCAGCCCGCCCGTGCTTTGGCTAGGGTTAATTATACGGCCAGTGCATTGGGAGAAACACATCCGTGCTTTGGAGAGAACACGGCCGTGCTTTGGGAGAACACGACCGTGCTTTCAGCCCGTGTAATCAGCTCATGTTTGCCAAACTCGAATTAGCTCTCGGCAGTAAAAGCACGGCCACAGAACACGACCGTGTTTTGGGAGAACACGGCCGGGTAATGAATTAGGTGTGCCCGTGTTTTGGCTCCAGCTCGACTAAATGACTTCCGAATGCCCCGAAACTCGTGCTTAGCCTTTCCTTTGACGCCTGGGACCTGAAATATGACAAAATAGCACAAACCGGCGTAAAATAGGCCAAAAGTACACGACTATGCCCCTCAAACGGATAAGATAGGGGCACAAATATGTGCAATTACATCGTTATCAGTTCCCCTTATGTTCTTTGTTTCTTTATCTCTTTAAACTATATTGGGTGCATGTTTTAGTTACTAGCTTCTATTGTTAGTAACAATCCAATTGTTATGAACACGACCCCAATCATCCAAGCTAGAAATGAAGGATCAACTAGAAGCATCAAATGCTTCAAATGTTTGGGACGAGGTCACAAGGAAAACTAGTGCCCCAACAAGAAAGCTCTGGTTCTGAGAGATGGATAAAACTATTCAACGAAAGAGGACTAATATAAGCCAATGGGGAAGGAAATCGATTCTGATGATGATGAAGTTCATGAGCAAATTATTGCTAATATTCCTCTAGTAGGTAAGTTTCTTTGAGTTAATCGTAGGGTGCTCTCCCTTGAATCTATAGTTAAACAAGAACAACGAGATAATCTATTTCATACCCGCTGCCTGATGGATAGAAAGTTGTATTATGTGGCGATCGATGGTGGTAGCTGCACTAATGTAGTGAGTCTTGATGCATTCAATAAGTTGGGGTTGAGTAACCTTAAGCATCTACAGCCTTACAACCTTCACTAGTTGAACGAATATGGAGCCATCAAGGTTAATAAGAAGGCTAAGTTTGATTTCAGATTGGTGAGTATGCATATGAAGTCTGGTGTGATGTTGCTCCAATGCAGGCTGCTCATATCTTATTGGGTCGACCGTGGAAATATGATCATCGAGCTACTCACGACGGAAGACAGAATAGCTATCGGTTCAAACAAGGCGATCAGAAGTTCATGCTCATTCCATTGTCTCCAGCTGAAGTTCGAGAAGATCAGTGACAAATGGAGTTGAATTGGGCAAGAGAGAAAGGAAATGGAAGTGGCACAAAGTCGGAGGACGAAAGTGGGACACATCTTTTGATTCGAAGGCACATGTTCACTGCGCAGAGGAGAATTCCATTTGTAAATTATGTTGATGTTGTCTCTTGCAGGAACACTCTAGCTTTGAGGGCTAGCTTTTCCAATGATGAGGGACCGATGCGAGACTCTAGAGCCTCCAAAGTGGCCTAAATTGAAGCGGAAAGAAGAGCGTGCCACGTTGGAGCAAGAAGGTGGACGGGGCCAAAATCCTGGGCCTGAAGCCGAGATCCCCACCCAGGGATTTAAACTGGGTCTTTTCCCTGGGATAAGGAGTATTTTCCTTGCCTGGGGATCGGGGATCTGACGGGTTAACTTCCTTGTTGGTTTAGGATTTCTTTACTTTAATGTGATTGGACGAGTTTTTTTGTTTCCCTGACCAATATAAAGGCTTAAACACGACTATTAGGTCAGATTTTGAAGAATATTGCTATTATTTTGGTTCATTGAGCTTTAGGCTTGTGAATTGTTCTCTATATCAATAAAGTTTTCCCCTTGATTGTGGTCGAGATTCTATCATTTATATTGTTAGAGCATTCTCTCATCTTGTGTTGAGATTGCACTCAATTCCATACTATCTCAAACAAACAAACAAAAAAAACCTAAAAATATTTTTTGCTTATTTGTTCTTGAAGCTGCGCTATTTTGATAAGTACGGGTGTCGGATCCGTGCTCGTGTCATTAGGGTTTAGAGTTAAAGTTTATGGTTATGTGTATAGAGTTCAGGATTGAAGGTTTGAGGCTTAGTGTTTAGGGTTCATGGTTATTTTTTATGGTTTAGCGTTGTGGATTGAGTTAGAAAATGTGAAATCTTGTTTGTGAGATTTCAACTATGGTACTAGTCATTCTATCCAACACAATATGGTAAGTTCACTTGTATGAAAAGGCGGTTGATTGATTTCTCCAAATCACGGTGACTTGGAAGTCACTTTACGCATACCCAAAAATATAAATAATACAAACTTATTTTATTTTTTATTGTTTGTCCCATTAATTTTTTTTTCTTATAAGTAGTTCAAAGTTTAAATCCAACAATTAAAATAACTACTAGAACCTTATTTGAAATTAAGATTAGGTGAATTTGTGTTTCGCATTTAGACTATTCCAAAATGTAAGCATGAAGCATATGTGTTTTAGTTTGGAAAAAAGCCTTAGGCGGCCTCATCCATCCCCGATCCGATTTTTCCACTACCTGCATGTCCAAATAAATTCGAATTTGAAAAGCTCTTTGTGCCGGCTCAAGATTGGGTGCATAACTTTATGGTGCATAATTATGAGTAAGCAAATTTTGATCCTTCTTTTAAGTGGCTGCAGATCTAAGGGTGGAGAATTAAAAGAATTTATTTTCCCTAGTTTTCTTGATTTGATCATATCTTTTTTTTTTGCACAGATGAAAAGAGTTTGTTGTGCTCTACAAAATGATATCTATTTTCAATATTTTTTGAGAAAAAAATTTCATACCTCTCGTTACCAACTCCATAACATATGGTATCTCCTTCGTTTTTTAGTCGTTTTCGAAATTTTTTGCACAGAAGGAACGATTTAATCATGATCTATTGGATGTCAAATTTTTCTGGGTGAAAAAATTTCATACCTCTCGTTACCAACTCCATACCATACTATACCACCCTGGTTTGGGCTGGTATTTTTCATACTATATGGTATGTTGTTATTTAATACCAGTCAATACCATATGGTATAGACTGGTAATAACTGGCAAAAAAATTTTGTTCCAAAAAATATCAAAGTGGATAGCAGTTTGAAGAGCACAATTAATCTGATCTAACTGTGCAAAAAATTAAATTCCGAGTTAAAACGAGCGAGAAATCGTCCGTTAAATTAAGGGAAGGAAATTAAAGTTTTTCCGAGGAGAGAGAAAGAGGCGCTGATGTAGCGGATTCTTATAAGGGTATGCATGGGATTATAGCACCACAAGGTTACTCACCGGATCTGCTCCTCTTTGTACCACATCTCCTTCCTCCAAGTCTATTTTTTTCTCATAGATATTCCAAAAGGAACAGCTGAAAATAAATGCAACTCCTTTGTAGGCAAAAAAAAAAAAAAAAACGTCGCCCCACAAAATGTTGATTAATCAATAAGAGAGTCTTTTTGCCACGATATGGGCTCTTGATACCTCTTCGACAAGAGTAGAATCCTCGACTTAGCTTCAACACCATTTTATGGAGAAAGATGAAAGCAATGTGGCGAGCCCCTACAAATCTATGAGATTCAATGACAAGCATATATCTTCATTATTATCGAAGAAGCCCCTAGGACAAAAGCAACATAATACACCCTTGCAAAAGTAACAAATGCACTATCGCTCGGATATGGGGTCCAAACAAAATGGACCTATCTAACCAAACCTCATTGATTTAGAGCTAAAACGATTAGCAGAGTCCTAAATAACAAGGGTCTACCATAAATGAGCGGCTTTTTCTTAATTGTTAGAAAATCGGAATAATCAAACCATAAATAGAAGCCAAACCATTTCAACTCTAGGTACAGTTTGCAGGCATGTTAATAGATATTATTGACAAATCCAAACAAGTGAAAGGGATTGGGCTAAGTGCTCAAGATAGGGTGCATAACCCATCTATTGACAAATCCAAACAAGTGAAACGGATTGGGCTAAGGGCTCAAGATCCTATCAATAATCAAATCTGGACCCTTTATTTAGAAAATTCAGACCTAAGGAAAGAGAATTAAAGATCATTTTTATTTTTTCTAGTTTTCTTAATTGACTCATATCTTTTTCGTTTTAACTCGGATTTTAATTTTTTTGCACAGATGGAACGAGTTCATCGTGCTATACAAAATGAGATCAATTTTCAATATTTTTTTAGAAAAAAAATTATGGCCTCTCGATACCAACTGCATACCATATGGTATCTTCTTCGTTTTTAATTCGTTTTTGAAAAAGTTTGCACAGAAGGGACGAGTTCATCATGATCTATTGGATCTACAAATTTCTGGGTGAACAAATTACAGGACCAAAAAATACCACACAATACCATACAATACCACCCTGGTACGGGGTGTTATTGTATGGTATCTTCTTCTTTTTTAATTCGTTTTTGAAAACGTTTGCACAGAAGGGACGAGTTCATCATGATCTATTGGATCTACAAATTTCTGGGTGAACAAATTACAGGACCCAAAAATACCACACAATACCATACAATACCACCCTGGTACGGGGTGGTATTGTGTGGTATACAATGTTAAAAGTCGTAAATGACAATTAATATACTTCTACTATCATGTATTCAACCATCCTACAGTTTTGGTTGGTTCATACCACCATGGTACGTTTTTCAAACCATAGGTATGCTTTTAATTCAAGGGTTAATACCCTAGTATGGCCCGAAGTTTGGCGTAAGTGACAGTTCTGGCCCCATTTTTCAAATAAGACATTTATGACCTACTTTTGAAACTATTGGACAAATTTGGCCCAAAATTTTGTTGTTAAATAATATTTTTAATTTTATCTCTTAATTAAAATAAAAACTATAAAATTAAGAAAATTTTTATCATCCCAAAACCCCAAATCCAAACCATAATCCCCTAAACTAACTTTCTGTACAAAAAAAATCCCTAAACTAAATCAACTTCAACAGCGGCCCTCCTCCTTTCTCTTCATCGAATCCCTCTATTCCCTCTAACTGCATTCTCCACAACCATTTCAACATCAACAACGCGTCGCGGCCGCCGTTGCTCGTCCCAAGGAGAAAAGGACCATCACGACAGCGCCTCTGTCCGCGGCCTCGTCCAGGGTACAGGGAGATCGCGATGGTTCCTCTTCCGCCTCTGTGATGCTCCGACGGATTACGGTCACGGAGGACTATGATGCCGACGAAGACGAGAGCTGCCACGAGGAAGAGGAGGATCCGAGCGAGCTATCTCCGTGGCGGCGACGAAGATGGCGAAGGCCATGATTGTCGCCGCAAACGCCGCCGCGATGGTCGTCCGGCTTACCAGCAGCGGGAGGAAGGAAATAGAAAAGAGAGGGATCGGTAAGAAGAGGAAGGAGGAGGGAGGCGTCTCCTGTTGATGTTGATTTAGGGAATTAGGGTTTGGATTTGGCTCTTTTGGGATTTGGGATAATTAAGGATTTTTCTTAATTTTTATTTTAATTAAATTATAAAATTAGAATAATATTATTTATTGACGTGGCATGCCACATCAGTGATTTTTTATGAGTCATTAACGGAATAGTGTTTGACCGTTAGTATTAACGGTCAAAGAAAATTTTGGGCCAAATTTGTCTAATAGTTTCAAAAGTAGGTCATAAATGTCTTATTTAAAAAATGGGGCCGGAACTGTCACTTACGCCAAACTTCGGGCCATACTAGGGTATTAACCCTTATTTCAATACCATATGGTATAGACTGGTAAAAAATGGCTCAATTTTTTTGTTCGAAAAAGATATTAAAGTGGATATCATTTTGAAGAGCACAATTAATCTGATATAACTGTGCAAAAAAAAATTAAATTTCGACTTAAAATGAGTGAGAAATGGTTCGTCAAAGATTAAAGAGGGAAAATTAAAGACTTTCTAGGAGAGAGAGGATGTTGATGTCATGTTAATGTGGACGGTTTACTCATGGTTACTCACCATAAAGTTACTGACCTGATCTATTCCCGGGCCTAAGAGGTAAAATCATACTTGTAATGAAAAGAGGTAAAACTTCTAAGTTCAATTAAAAATGATAACGAGGCAAAAAAATCAATTGACCAACTGTAACACCCCGATTTCTTCTCACTATAAAATTCCTAAATTGTCCTTCATTCTTTTATGAATAAAAGAATCCTATTTAACGTTAAGCTAAGGGAAAACCCTAAAAGGGGATCGAGGAGCAGCCGCCAGCCCGCCACTCTCCTCCTTTCCCGTGTGCTCGACCTCAGCCGTCGAGAGCAGCAGCTCAATCACCGAACCTTCCCTCTCCACCACAAAATGCCACCCGCAATTCTGTTTCTTCTCGCCATCACCGTCTCAGCATCAAGAACAAGCAATCGTTACCGTAGCTTCATGCGGTCAAGGGAAAGACTAATCGAGTGAATGAGAGAGACGACGCTGCCTGGGATAATCGGGGTGAATCTGGTACTTCAATGGCGAAGCCAGGAACAACACTTATACTTGGATGGTTGACTTGATACTGTAGCTTCAAGCTCTTGGTGCGTTCCACGACTCCTTGACTACATCAGATCAATTGTAAGGGGCGATCAGACGAGAAGGCGAAGGCGGTGCTATAATTAGCTGGGTAGGTATCGTGTATATATACATATATATGGGGACTTATATCCCTGCCATTATGCGTTGCATGCTTATTAGCTTACACAAGTTAAATGGCCTCCCATTCTTGAGATGGTACCTACGTCCACGTGGGAAATTGGACATGGAAAGGAGGTGCAAGGAAGTTTGGTAGGAAGCGAGTGCATAATGGGATGGTATGTGCATTACTCGAAGAAAGTTGCGACCAATTCTTGGATGGTGGGTAATTAAAGCTAAACTGCGTCTAATAAAGCTGCGTGGTTAAAGGGGCTAGAGCAGTTTTCGTTATCAGTCTATGCATTCATGTTTATGTTTTGCATTTCAGTTCACGCCTTATGTTTCAGTTATTCAGTATTCGCTTCGTTGTTAAGTTAAGCTCTTCACGTTCAACATTTACTTTAAGTATGCATAACATCATGAAACATCAATAAACTACGTTGTAAGTCAAGCAAATACAAGTTCAGTTCTAAACTAATCAAGTGCAAGTTAATAAGTTCAGATCTTCCCCTTGTGGGAGAGATCACCCTAAGTAAGCTCAAACTTCTCAAATTAAGTAAACAAGTGTAAGCTTAAGTGCATCTCTCCATCGTGTGAGAGATTGATTCAAACAAGTACGTTAAGTTATCAAGTTAATAAGTCAGAAAAAGATCAAACCTCACTTACTAGCTAAGAACGCGGCCACCTCACTTCCCAGAGTGAGGAAGTCCATGTATACTACCCACTCCTTCAGACAAGGAGTCCAAGTTCAAGTTCACGTATTAGTTACCGGACGGTCGCCTAGCTAGCGCGCGGTTACCTCACCTCCCATAGTGATGGAGGTCCATGATTATCACATTATTCACCTCCCACGGTGATGGAGGTCCATGTTTATCACGTTTAGGTGGTCGGGCGGGTGCTCTAGCTAAGTGGAGGACGGGGCCCCATGTTAAGATAAAATACGCAAGACACTTATGAAGTAAACAAGAATCATAAGTTCAAGGACTCCCAATAATGTACTTAAAGCATTGCATGTGCATGGCTGTCTGTTATGAATGATAACGAAATTAGGACTAGAACTGACCCCATCGCTCGCATTCAGGAATTGTAGAAGCTCCAGAGCATGCTAGAAGTTCGCAGTTCATGACAAGGATCAATGGTCCTAGAGGACTCCAGTACGAAGTTTCAAATCTCGTGTATTAGTAGGGCTCGAGACTTGATGCACATTCATTAAAGATGTTTATGATTTTCTCTTTTGCAAATTTCAAGAAATTGTTATTTGAATTTCAACGTATTTTTATGGATATTTAGATAAAGTTTCCCGCTATTTTTCCCAGTCTGTTTGGTTCTTATTTTGGTTAACGATTTATCAATGGCATTTTGGTAAAAGTAGTGCTCGGCCGAGCTAGAGTGTTACACCAACGATCTCCCAAAAAATAAAAATAAAAAAATAAAACCACTAAACATGACAGCTAACATTGCCACATTCCCACTACACCTTCAATTTACTAGCTAAGAAAACACACACGAAATATACAAGAGAAAAAAAAAAAAGAAAAAAAAAGAACAAAGTTGTACAAAAACTAATTTCACCCACTATTAAAATAATTATCAAAATGATTTAAATAAATTAGATAAAGAAAGGAATGGTAGTGATTGAATGTTGATAACTCCAGGTGGTCGGCCACGCGATTGGTGATGTGGCTGGAGATGGATGAGGAGAAGCGGAGAGGAAATTACTCTTTGTGTCAACCCTCGGACTCACTCGGACCCGGTCGAGTTAGTGGTTCAAGAGTTAATGGGTCAATCGTTTTAGCTCAGTTTGGCCCAGAAATATGGAAAGAGTCATTATACTGTACTTATTTTGATAAATTATATTAAATCTTTTCTAACATATGAGTTATAACATATAATATTACACCAAAATAACATATCGTACTTAGATCCAACTTATAGTGAAAATTCACACACACTTATATAATATCAATATTCAAATGTTCAACTTAGGATTCCAAATATTGAGTTAGGCGAAAAGAAAAATCGGAAAATAGGAGCATTTCGCAAATCAAAGAAAAAATGACACAATTTAACCTCCAACCCGATACCTTATAGCGGTCGACCCGGTGGTTGTGTGCGGCCCGCATTTCTCACTAGGTCAGGGTCAAAGTGGGTAGACCGGCGGGTTGACAACCTTGCTTTTTTGTCACACTTTCCTTCTTCCAATTCAATACTATTGAAACCAAAAAATGCTACAAGACTTTATTCTATAGAATGAACAATTACATAAAATCGTTGGGTGTGCTTGACTTTTCCCAAAATGTCATAAAAATGTTTCTTTTTTAATAAGGGTGATATAGATTACCTTTTTGTTATTAGGTACTACTGAAGGGACTCGAACTGAGACCTTCCGGTTGAAGGTTATTGGTATTACCACTAGACCAATTCCTTGTTCGTTTAAAAATGCCATTTTTCTTACTAGTGACTTTGTATTACTCTTCTAGTTGAAAAATGAAGCCTACTAATTTACTATGAGTCAATAGGCATTTAGCACACTGCTAAGTGATGAGAATTGTATCGAGTGTAAGATTATGATTATGGTTTGTGATAGCAAACTGTGGACAAAACTAAACCATGATTGGATTTGGAGGGAGGGATGCACAAATATAGGAACTTGATTCATGGAGAAAATATATAGAATTAAAAGATTCCCCATGAATCAAAAAGCACCAACTATAGAAGAACATGTCTTATCGCAATGCAAATAGTAAGCATAGTAACATCCAAAAATAGCCCTTTTTCTATACACCACTTTTAATTAATCACAGAAGAAAAAAAACGTGAGCTATAATTTGATTGGTCTTGAAACCATTTTAACTGTAAAAGCCCACCTAATCATCAATGGACAACCAACAAAAATTTAGGCACAAATTAATCAAAATATAGGATGTGACGATCCCTTTATAGTCTCCTTTCTTCTTCTTTTTTCTCCTCATTTTCCAAACCCCAAATCTCTCATCAACAAATATACCCCAGCCCCTAAAGATGATGAACACCCACCTCCTGAATCCTTGAGGTAATAAAAAAAATTCGAATCATTTTCTCCTTTCATCTCATATACTTCTATCAAGAATGAAAGATGCATGCCCACTATTCGACGAAATCCCCCGTTTTTAATTGGTTGCTATTGTTTTTATTTTTATGTTTTTATCAAATGGATTATGTAGAGAACTGGATTTTCATACATTTTTCCCGTGGTTGATCAATATTTTGGTTTTATGCTTTCTTCTTTTGATGAACTTTTTGGATTAGATTGTTGAAGATCAAAAGGAGGGGAGATGGCGGATGCAGCGGCCAACCAATACTGGTGTCACATGTGTAGTCGCATGGTGAATCCAGTCGTGGAACCCGAAGTCAAATGCCCCATCTGCGAGAGTGGGTTTGTCGAAGAAGTGGCTGGCGGAAACAACAACACAATAATAGACCTCACCACCACCAACAATAACAACAATAGCAATAATAGCAACAATATTGATACTAATTCTAATAACAACAATGACAATATTAATGGATTTGATGTGGAATCAGAACGTGCATTCTCTCTTTGGGCTCCAATCTTGCTCGGCTTAATGGATGGCTTTGGAGCTTACCGCCCCCCTCTTGCTTCTCTCCCGGCCCCGCCTCGAACCAATGTAGCAACCACTGACAATGAAGAGGACCACGAATTAAACCATCAACTACTCGATAGGGAGTTTGAGACCTTACTCCGAAGGAGAAGGACAAGAAGCACGGTCTCGTTCCTTCGACTGCTCCACGATATTCGTGCTAGGGCGGAAACCACTCTCGCCCAACATCACCACCTCCATAATAATCAAGAGAATGATGATGATGATGAGTATGGTCGTCGTAGCAGGAACAGTCGTTTGATCTTGGTCGATCCATTCAACGAAGGTGCTTTGATCCTCCATGGCCCACCTGATTCGTCAACTCGACCTGACAACATTGCTCCCACTCCAACTACTACTACCACCGTGACTCGTTCTTTCGCGGACTACCTCGAAGGCCCCGGATTGGATTTGTTGCTCCAACACTTGGCCGAGAACGATCCCAACAGATATGGGACCCCTCCTGCTCAGAAAGAGGCTGTCAATGCAATGCCAACCGTGACCATTGACGAGAACAATCTGCAGTGTGCGGTCTGCCTCGAGGATTTCGAGCTTGGAGCTGAAGCGAAAGAGATGCCTTGCAAGCATAAGTTCCACGAGGGTTGCATCCATCCTTGGCTGGAGCTCCACAGCTCTTGTCCTGTTTGCAGGTTCCAAATGCCCACCACTACTGATGATGATGGTTCCAAGATCGAGCCAAATGGTTCAAATGATGGTGGTGCTAGTTTTAGTTTCGTGGGAGGAGAACAAGTAGGGAGTCCAAACGAGAGGAGGCATCGATTTCCATTATTCCCATTCGACGCTTCACTTCCGTTCTTGAGGTCAAGAAGTGGTGTTGGGAATTATGTTCCAGGCGCTTCATCATCATCATCATCGACATCGTAATCTTCTACTAGCACTAATACTAGTGTGGTTGTGCCTCTATTGGGAGATTCTTCTAATTCTCATGATGAATCCCGAGGACACGAGCAGCCTTGAACAAAAAGCAAATATAAAAGGTTTTTGCAGCAAATTGGATTTTTTTTTTTATAATTCCACTTTTTAAAGTATAGCTTTCTCTCACACACACACATTTGTTTCCACAAAAAAATATTCAGTTTGCTCTTGGCCTCCTGTTATGTTAATTCCTGTAAATTTTTTGCTCAAGGAGTTTGTTGTATTCTTCAAGGGACTCTTTAATGGTGAAGGGAAAAAAAACAATTAATGCATATTCTATAGTCCTCCTCATTTTTAGCAAGTTAAAATCACAATGCTACTTATATAAGTATCCATATTGATTTCACTGCATAACTACTATTCAATAAAAAGAAAAACTCATTATACATGTAAAATTCATAAAATTCGAACATTTTTATAGTCCTAAGTGGTTTGATGCAGTGGCGGACCCAAAGAAATTATAGAAGTGTTCGATTACCACTGAATATGAGTAAAAACTATTGATCCAGAATAGGATTTTTTAAAATTTTTAAAAACAATGAGGATTTTTTCGTGATTTAAAAAAATGAATGCATATTCTTATAGTCCTCCTTATTTTAGCAAGTTAGAATCACAATGCTACTTAAATAAGTTTCCATCCTGATTTCACTACATAACTATTGAATAAAAAAAAATCTCATGTTACATGTAACATTCATAAAATCAAACAATTTTATATTCCTAAGTGGGTTGATGTAGGAGCAAACCCAATAACTTTTTAGAAGTATTCGGATACCTCTAAATTTGAGTAAAAAATAAGCGGCAATGAATAGTATTTTCTAGTAATTTTTTTAGGAATAACAAGATTTCATTGAAATCACACATCAGCCTCAGCGACAATAACATCAACAATTTGGCCAGGAACACTACCCTGCCATACTCTGTCTCTAATGACGTTAAAAGGAAAGAAATGTGCTAACAGGTGGGAAGCCCCATTTGCTTCCCTGTAAACAAATCTCCACTCAACAACACCAACATCCAAGCCAATCAAAACTAAGCTTCTGCAAACACTATCAATCTCAGTTCTGCTGTCCTCTTTCCCTTTCAGAAAGTCGATCAGCCTCTAGCAATCTGACTCGACCTGAATGACCCTTAACCCTTTTTCTCTAGCTTCCTTTAATCCATACTGCATCGCCATTCCTTCCGCAATCTCAGGAGACCAGCTTGCTTTGAGTGTTCTGCTCCCAGCTAGCATCACCTTACCATTCCAGTCTCTGATTATGAAACACATTCCCACCTCTTCTTTACCACTGCAGCCTGCGTCAGTATTTAGTTTGTAGGTTCCTTCCGGTGGCTTCTCCCACCTGCAGTTCCTTCTGTCAGTTCCTCCCCTTCTGTTATTGTTAGAATATGACTTGAATTTAATTTGATTTTGTTTTGTGTTTTGGGCCTATTCTGTTTGGGTTTGGGTTTGGCCTTTTTCCTTGTATGTTTGGGAAAAGGTGTTTGGTTTTCTGTTTGGGATTAGGAGAAGAGTTCTATAAATACTCTTCATCACCCTAGTCTGTAGGAAGGTCAGTTAGGTTAGTTTGTTTGGTTTGTCCGTTTGGAATTTGGTTTGTAACCTGTACTCTCCTCAAATTAGTGAAATTTGTCCCTCCTGCCCGTGGATTAGCTAGCACACATTGTGTTAGTGAACCACGTTAAATTTGTGTTCGTTCGTGTTGGTTTGGATTATCGATTGCACGCTTCTGTTCTGACAAGTGGTATCAGAGCCTGGTTGCGGTTTTGGAAATTAGGCGTTGGACTGAAGTTTTGCTTTGTGGAGGTAGCTTTCAATTCTTCAGTTTTGTTTGGTGGAGGAATTGCTTTGAAGTTGACTTTGGGTAGTTGTGTTTTGGTCTCGCTTGTTTGGTGAGAAGTTTGGTTGGAGTTAGTTTGATACTAAGAATGGCTACTATCAGTATCAAGATCGAGAAGTCAATTTGGAGTTGCAGGCTTGGAGTTAGCAGTAAATTTGATGTTGGTGTTATGGACGGAAATAACACGAAGCTGGTTCTGAATGGCAAGTCCCAACATGGGTTGGGCTTGCTGCATGTTTTGATTTGTTGACCGCTCTTAGGGGCATCGGGAGGCAGGGGATATTATGGTACAACTGATTTAGAGGAGTTTGGTACGTCTGACAATCTTGATTGCATCTAAGTTTGGCGATTTGCATCGCGTTTGAGTTTGGTGATTTCGATCACATCTGGCAACTTTGGTTGCGTCTGGTACATCTGGTATTTGAGAGAGAATTCAAGTCAAGGTGGAGATTGTTAGAATATGACTTGAATTTAATTTGAGTTTGTTTTGTGTTTTGGGCCTATTCTGTTTGGGTTTGGGTTTGGCCTTTTTCCTTGTATGTTTGGGAAAAGGTGTTTGGTTTTCTGTTTGGGATTAGGAGAAGAGTTCTATAAATACTCTTCATCACCCTAGTCTGTAGGAAGGTCAGTCAGGTTAGTTTGTTTGGTTTGTTCGTTTGGAATTTGGTTTGTAACCTGTACTCTCCTCAAATTAGTGAAATTTGTCCCTCCTGCCCGTGGATTAGCTAGCACACATTGTGTTAGTGAACCACGTTAAATTTGTGTTCGTTCGTGTTGGTTTGGATTATCGATTGCATGCTTCTGTTCTGACAGTTATTTTCTTTTCCCTAAACATCAATATAGTCTTGTATAAAATCATCAACCTTTGTAAACACTTCCCTATCTTGTAGCATTTTGCTATTAAACAAGCAGTTGTTTCTCTCTTTCCAGAAGAACCATAACAGAGAGCAAAATCTTTCAATCTCCCCTTCTTTCGCTTCCTTAATCACCTTGAAAATCCATTCTTTGCAGGGGAGGGAATCAGCCATATAGAACAGGTTTGCAACAGGAGTTTTTGGCTAGATTCTTCCCAGCTGCAGTTCACAAGACATTGTTTTAACGTTTCCTTCATTCCACAGTTTGGGCATTCATACCCTCTTCTGATGCTTTTTTTCCTAATCTTAACACCAACTGGAACAATATTATGGGCCACCTTCCACAGGAAAACCTTGATTTTCCCTGGGACATTTAGCTTCCAGAGTTTTCTCCATCCAACATTCATCTCCTGTTCATTATCACTCCCTTCCAGCTCCTCCTCCTCCCCCCCTGTGTAAACATAATCTCAATCAAGTCTCTCCTCCAGGTTCTAGTTTCTTGGTCGATGAGGCAAGAGACTTTTGAGTCCCATTCAAGGAAAGGGATATAAGAGAAAACCTGGAAATTGTCAAGCCTCAGAATCCATCTGTCTTTCCAAATATGAACCTCTTCACCCCAACCAATCCTCCATCTGCAACCTGATTTTAATAAGTCTTGAGCTCCCATCAGGCTCCTCCAAACGTAGCTTGGTCTCCAGCCCATTTTTGCTTCCAAAATATTGCACTTAGGATGATATTTTGCCTTTAGTAATCTTGCAACCAGAGACTGAGAGTTGAGGTTCAGATTCCATAGTTGTTTTGCCAGAATAGCAGTGTTAGACACTTTAAGGTTCCTGAATCCCATTCCTCATTGATTCTTCTTTTTACACAGCTTCTCCCATCGCCTCCAATGAATTCTTCTTTCATTCCCTTTCTGCCCCCACCAGAAATTAGCTATCAAGCTATGAATATCATCTATAATTCCATCAGGGATCCTAAACACAGACATAGCGTAGGTCATTTGGGCCTGAGCAATACTCTTGATCAGAACTTCTTTCCCTGCTTCTAAGAAAACCCCTATTTTTCCAATTCATAAGCTTGTTCCTCACCCTATATCTGAGATTGCTGAACACCAGCTTCTTTGATCTCCCCACCATTGTAGGTAGGCCAAGGTATTTTGCTAATTTGTCCACTTCCTTGATGTTTAACTCTTGGCAGATCTCTTGTCTTCTATTACTCAAAGTATTCTTGCTGAAATAAATCTCTGACTTTTCCAAATTCACCATTTGTCCAGATTCTTTCTCATAATCTCCAAGCAATTCTTCTTAGCTTCTTCCACCGTGGCTCTAGCAAAGATTGTGCAGTCATCCGCAAAAAGCAAATGGGAGACAACTGGAGCCCTATTGCATATTTTCAGACCATGAATTCTCCTTTCCTTCTCATTCTTGTTGATCAGAGCTAATAAGCCTTCAGCACAGAGCAGAAATAAATATGGGGAGAGGGGATCCCCTTGTCTCAACCCCCTTCCAGGATTGAAGAAGCTGGATTTGTGACAATTAACCAACACTGCATAAGACACATATGAGACACAGTTCATAACAAGCTTGATCCATTTATCATCAAACCTCAGTTTTGCCATGACTCTTTCAAGAAAAATTCATTCAACACGGTGGTATGCCTTAGACATATCCAGTTTGAGAGCTAGGGAACCTTTATCACCTTTGTTTTTATTCTTCATAGTAGAGAAACACTCAAAGGAAGCTATCACATTGTCAGTGATTGATCTTCTAGGGACAAAGGCACTCTGTGCTTCACATATAAGATCATTCAACACTTCTTTCATCCGGTTAGCAATAGTCTTTGATAGAATCTTATACAGAACAAAACACAAGCTAATCGTTCTATATTCTTTGGGGGAGGTAGGGTTTTTTACCTTTGGAATCAGCACAATAAGATTTCTGTTAAGCTCAACAGGCAAGCTTCATTTTCACTCATCTCCATTTTCACTCGTAGTTAAGTTTGCTGATAAACCTTCTAACTTCATCAGTTTTATTGGTTTCCTCTTCTTACTTTTTTCTGAAAGCACCAACAAGTAACTGATGAGATGAATCATAAACTTCTCAGGCCTTTTACTGCGGAAGAAATCCAAGCTGCTTTGTTCCAGATGGGAGCAACCAAAGCTCCAGGGGATGATGGCTTCCCATCCCTTTTCTTCCAAAAGAATTGGAGTACCATTGCACCAAAAATAACTGAGGAAATGACGGGTTTTCTCAATGAAGGAAGAGGAAACCAATAAAACTGATGAAGTTAGAAGGTTTGTCAGCAAACTTAACTACGAGTGAAAATGGAGATGAGTGGGAAGGTGAAGGAAAGTGAGCTTTGTCAAAAAAAAAAAAAATAGAAGGTTTGTCAGCAAACTTAACTAACGAGTGAAAATGAAGATGAGTGGGAAAGTGAAGGAAAGTGAGCTTTGATGGTGGCACAACCATAGGGGTAGGGTGGGAGTAGGGATGACAATTTCGACCTTTACCCAACCTGTTTGACCTGTTTTGGGTGGGTCTGACCCGCTTCGTAGGTGGGGTGGGACGGGCATGGGTACTCTCATCGACCTGACCTACCTTGACCCGCCCCATTCTCGATCCGTTCTTGCCTAAAATTACTCAACCTAAACCCGACCTGCCATGAGGCGGGTATGAATATCGTGATACCTGCCCCCAACCTGCCCATTGTCATTCCTAAGTGGGAGTTGTAAGGATGGGGCTTGTGGTTGTATTGAGTGTCAACGACGGAGTGGAAGTTGGAGGCAATGTTGCGGGGAGCCGCCAGAAAAGAAAGTTGGCAGCTAGACTCTGGTGTATGTTGTTTTTGAAGGTAGAGAATAGAGGTGAATGGAAGAGAATGTCTATGAATTGGGGATGAAGAATTCGTTGAAAGAAAACCTTAAAGGATAACAAGACTTATAAAACTTAATACGCCCATGGGGGGTGTATATTATCAAAGTCACGCAGCTAACTATTCAATCGAAGAATCGATTGAGCTCGAATCAAGAACAAAGCGTTCTTAATACGAACTTGGATAAAACGGAACCAAAAGGACGATTCCACACCTGGGGAATGCTCGATTGGTATAGAATGGTAGTTGCTCGACCACGATTGAAGTGACTATTCAATCGATACACAAGCTCAGCAAGTTTGGAATCCACCAAACCCAAAACAAGTTCGCAAACTTGCAAAACCAAATGGTTTCTTTTCTCTTCAATCAACTCTCATTTTACAACGAAATAGAACAATATTTAAAGGCAAATAAAACCTAATACAATCATAATAGAACTAGGAAGCAATTAAGGTAAAATTATAGACTAAAAAGGACACAAAATTCGGGTTTAAACTCCTTTCTTCAAGCGCAAGTAAGCTGCAAGCAAATAGTCCAAAAGGCAGCTTTCGTACTAACTTCGCGCCTTTCGTTCGAGGCCTTCCAGAACTCCAATCTTCCATCCAATTCCTTCCCTTTGTACATAAACATACTTATTTTCATGTTGTGGAAGCCTTTGGACTTGAATCAGATCCATACTCCTCGAATAAAGCTCCAAAGTAGGCTTCACAAAACAGTTTTCTGCCTTAGTCATTTTCTAGTAGTTTTCCAGTTTTGAGGTAGCAACTTTGAGGCCTTGGAAAACAACCTTAATCACATCTTCTGGATCCACAAAGCATACCATTGGAAACATGGCAACTTTGTCTGTAAAACAAACCCTTAAACTGGAATTTCCACTGAGCCATTTAGAGAACCATGCCTCCAAAGTATGTACCCTGAACACGTATTTTGACTTGGCCAAATTCTGCCCTTCTTCTTCCCAACTTCTATAGCTTCTTCGTCAAGTAATTTAAATGTATATAGTTGACCATTTGGGATCATATCAAAACTGTGTCATTTTCTTAATTTTTGGCCATTAAAACCAACCCAAAATCAATTCAATATGGTCCTAAAACCCGAATATCAAAATTCTAAAACTATCTAAAAGTTAGCTTTTAAGGCTTTTAAAGCCCTTTAGCACTTTTACATGAGCTTTTGTTGAAATTTTTGTGCAAATGCTTATGGAACAAAAGCTATAATTTTTAGAACTAGTGTTTTCAGAACCAGACCGAATGCTGAACCGGATAAATTAGTGGTTGATGATTCAAAGGTTAACAATTGATAAAACCATTAATGATCTATAGCATAAAAGACATATATAATACACTAATATAGAAACGAATTTATCACAATAAAGTTCTAACTAAGCATTGAAACTATCTCACAAAAGAAATCATAATTTTATAACTGAATTCAAGTCAGTAATCAAGGTGGCAATCCGTAGTTAACCAGATAAATCAAAAAAGGAGCCGAGAAATGACTAAAAAGAAGTATAAATAAAATTCATGATTGAGATTTGATGACCTTAGTTAACATTAAGTTTTGTGTTTCTTAATTTTTTATTGTTATAATAGTGAACCAGTGGACCAATCAAACTAGGGTGATTGATCTGAATTCTAGTCAAACTGGTAAAATCCATTCGATCCATCCCTTACTGTCCAATCAAATGAACCGAACTAGTTTATTGGTTCTACTTATCCAACCATGTTTCTCATAACAACTAGGGATGGCAAAAAAACCCGAATCCATGAGTACCCTAATCGACCCAACCCAGTCAATGCGGGTAAAACCCGTATTGACGGGTTTCGGGCTGGATTCGAGTTTAAACCCATTCACTATTCACCGGGTTGGGTTTGGGTTTAGGTATACCCGTCCCATGGATACCCGCCCACACTTATATAATTAATTGTCTCGGTATATTTAATTGTGGAGACATGCCTAATTTTTTATTTTTAATTGTGTAGAATGAAGTTGATATTATGGAGTGGAGAGTAAAGAAGTTTAATTGAGAAGGTGAAAAAAGTTTTCAATTAATCATGTTGTTTATAGATAGTTTGTGATTTGCTTCAATTTTCTTGAGTTTTCTAGATTGGTATTGAACAATTTGTATGGTTAATTTTTTATGTACTTGAATTTTCTAGGATGATGTTTTATATATGGATAATTTGTATTGAGAGATTGATATTTAACTTTTATTTTGATAGGAACTTGTTATTGGAAATTCTTTTACGACAAAAACTCATGGGTACCCATGAACCCGCGGATACCCAGCGGGTGGGGTTGGGTTTGCGTTTTCCAAACCCAATGAGTCTTACCCCAATTTTTTTCACGGATAAACTCATAATTTAGCAAGACCCAACCCGTCAAACCCAAACCGACCCATTGCCACCATAAAACCAAAAAAAAAAAAATGATAACTACTCCCTAAACTTCATTGTACGAAAATAAATGTTGTTACAAAAACCACATCCAGCCGAAAAAAGCAAATCCAACTCCGTCACCAAAAAAAAAATCCAAAGCAATTTTAGAAGAAAAAATAAAACAAACAAACGTAGCGCTAAATCTACTCCACCGCACTCTACTGAACCTGAACAATCTTGATCACCGTCACCATCCCAACTCTGTGCAACGCCACCACCGAATCCCCGGCCCTACAAATCCCTCTCTCCTTCGCCACCTCCAGCCCTCTCTCCACCGACACCTCAGCCGACTCCTGGTCCGACTCCGCCACCGGCGACGAGCTCAGAACCGGCACCACCCCCCAGCTAATCAGCCCGTGCCTCGCCGGCGCCTCGTCGCTAATGCTCCACTCCTGATCAAACGAATCGATCCCAATCTCCGGCACCACCACGGACAGAATCGGCACGTGCGGCCGGTACTTCGCCAGCAGCCTCGCCGTGCTCCCGCCGCGGGTCAGCACCACGATCAGGCTCGCGTTGACGTTCTTCGCCGTCCTGACCGCCGACGCCGCCAGGCTCTCCAGCGGGCTCAGCGGCAGGGGCGCCGCCTTCATCACCCTCTTGAACGCGTCCCCGTACACGATCGACCTCTCCGCCTCGACGCAGATCCGCGCCATCGTCCGCACCGCCGCCTCCGGGTACGCCCCCGCCGCCGTCTCCCCGCTGAGCATGACGCAATCGGTCCCGTCGAGCACCGCGTTCGCCACGTCGGTCGCCTCCGCCCGCGTGGGGCGGGGCGATTTGATCATCGATTCGAGCATCTGCGTCGCGGTCACCACGGGCTTCCCCTGGATGTTGGCCTTTCGGATCATCGTCTTCTGAGCGAGGAATATCTTCTCCACGGGAATCTCCATCCCCAAATCGCCCCTCGCGACCATGAGCGCGTCCGAGCTCGCAATGATCTCGTCGATGTTGACGATTCCTTCCTGATTCTCGACCTTGGACATGAGCATTATGTTCTTGGCGTTCTTCTCGCCGATTAGGGATCGGACGGCGGCGAGATCGGAGCCCTTCCGGACGAAGGAGAGTGCGATTACATCGATTTTGTTGGGGATCCCCCAATTCAAGATGTCGTCCTTGTCTTTCTCCGTCAATGTGGGCAAATCGACGATGACGCCGGGGAGATTGACGTTCTTCTTCTCGCCTAGGGTTGCGGAGTTCTCGCACAGGCAATTGACCAGCCCCTTGTCCCTGTCGCAGGACAAAACCCTAAGTGAAATTGTGCCGTCCGAGCACAGAATCCTGCTCCCTGGCTTCACATCCTCTGCAATCTTCTTGTAGCTCATCGCGATTTGTGTCTCGTCGCCTTTCAGGTTGTAGTCGGTCGAGATCAGAATCTCGCTGCCTTGCTTGAGCTCGATTGGCTTCCCGTCTTTCAGAAACCCCGTTCTGATCTCCGGCCCCTGGGAAGCAAAAAAAAAAAAAAAAGTAAAACAGAAGCATTAGCGACGGTTCAGTGCCAACTGCTAAAAGGATTGTTGAAGAAAGTAAGGTATTGTCACTGAAATTAGGTTGAGCATCGAGAAAACGTTGCTGAAATTGAAGTATTTGAGGAGGTACCTTGGTGTCGAGCATGACGGCGCAGGGGATGCCGGTGGCGGACATGGCGGCGCGGAGGTTGTCTAGGGTTTGCTGGTGGTAGTCGTGGGTGCCGTGGGAGAAGTTGAAGCGAGCGACGTTCATGCCGGCCTCCAGAAGCTTGGAGATCATGTCGACGGAGCGAGATTGAGGGCCGAGTGTGCAGATGATCTTGGTCTTGGGCCGGCCGCCGCCGGGGGTCTCAGCCAGCAAGCTCGCCATCGAATTCTCCATTGTTTCTTCGCTTTGATCCTCTTTTCTTTTCTCCTCAGGGAAACTGAAAGAGAGTAATTAGAAGTTTGATTACGAGACACGGAACAAGGGGTTTGCTGTGGGTTTTATAGAAGACGAATAACAACGATGTGCCCTTTCCCTTGCCGGAATATGAAAGCGTGGGAGAGAAGGAATCTTTTATATATAATCAGAGGCATCTATTTGTGCTCTCCGCTCGTTGAGAGGGAAGGTTTTCTTGACCCACAAGGTAAAGGGTTAAACTTCTAGAATGTTCTGCTGCAGTTGTATAACTGCTTTCTTTCACACCTTCTTGTGTTTAGATCTGTAATATACAGCTGATAGTATTGGACTTCTTCTGGTCCAATAAATACCGCTTATTTTCACTCGTTTTATAAATAATAAAGCTTTTAAAGACTCTAGTACGGACACGGTGTTCTGTATTTGGCATTTTTTAGTAGTGGAAAATATGACTTATTAATCAAGTTCTTCTGGGTCAGATATTTTGATCACATGCATAATGCATTACTGTCAAAAAAAGAAAAATGAGTAGCCCACCAGCCCTAGCGGTGGGAACGCCTTAGCGATTGGACGAGAGCAGAGAATTTTCTAAGAATAAGATGTGTTGCCTATGTCAAGCACCACTTCGACGGCAGAGAGAAGATTTCGCGCCTGGACAAAGGGTCGCCAGGTCTCCAAAAACCCCTCGTATTCAGCTCCTTCCTGAGCCCACATCTCCATGTCCTATCGATGCTTATCTCTTCCCCTAGCTCCGAGGACGCGTTTGCACCAGCTCATTACATAACCATATTTTAGCAAATATAATACTTAGCAAACATTACAATTGGCAAATTCGAAATGACGATAGAAGCATAAGTTCGATATAATTGAATGACTTCTGAAAGAGGGCTAATTAATAACTTACTATGTTGTCATTTCTTAATATTGACATATATATTAATTTCAACGGAACTGTCTTATAATTTTTTTTCAAGGAAATCGAATATAATATGGTCAGGTTGTTGGTCCCATAAATTTTATATATACAAAAGAAAAATGAACCGAATTAATATGTGTACCAAACCAAATCGGACTGAATGCAATAATAGTCCGATCCTTAGTCATAAGATGACGCTCACCTTATTGAACCACGATTCTCGATATTTTGATCTCGTATGAACCGGATTGCGGCACGCTCCTAATTGTGAAATCTGTGAGTCCTCTGTGACTGAAAAAACATGTCTGCCAAACCACCGTCGATAGACCAAGGACAATGCAGTAAAATAAAATACGTGGGAGCATAAATGATGGCTTTTTAATTCAACTTTAGCTGCTGCCTGGAATAGGAATCATCAAACACTAACAGCACCTGCACCATAACAATTAACAACAAAGCACCAACCCACGTTCTAAAGAGAACTACTTTCGGTCCCTTTTGTTAATGGAATGGTCGGAATGAGTTTACAGTTCGTTCAAATAAATTCCCTTATTGCTTTGTGATCCAAAAGCAATGTCGGCATATACCATGGAAAGCTCCTGCGTCAAACCTAAGCACGCAGTAACGAATACAGATAATACCATCTCCTGTACCTCTGATTCCTGATGGGAAATCGCCCGCAACTCAGACTCAGTCAGACAGCGAATCTATAGAGCATATCGAGAATGAGAGAAAGATTAGGATTTAGGAGTGGCTGGATTGATATTGAGCATGTTAATTTCGCTGCGAGTTTAGAGCTCGTCGTGGCCTTCAGGCTTCTCCTTCTGCAGCATTTCCAGTTTACCCTCGAGTTCCTGTTGGGAACCCCATTTGCCGGTTTAACAATGAAGCGTGAGGAGTAAAAGTGAGCTTCTCTGGTGTTTATGGACGATTACCTTAAGCTTTCCATCAAGACATCCTAGAGGGGTTGACAGGACTGCCAAATATCTGCCAATTGACACACACAAAAAAACAAAGGAAATGCATGAGAGAAAGCCAAATCAAAGTCTTACAAGTGCGTTTGTTTTTACGGAAAGGAGTGTAAAAAATATCGCATTACTCGCAGCGGCTTGGTTCATCCACATCAGTCAGTTCTGTTTTCAATCCACACCTCAGCTTCACCTGATAACAAGGGAGAGAGCCAGTAGCCAAGTCGCTTGGGTTTATTAGTTCATCAATTCTAAGCATTTGAAATAAGACCTTCTAATCACAATACCTTGATGCTTCTACGTGGTCCATTCCAGCAACCGGCGCCATTTGAGAACAACATGGCACTGTATGATTCTTCAAATTTCTCCCAGTACCTGATTGATTCCACCACCATCAAGCGTTTAATGCAATGTTATCGGATGTATTAGTGTTTCTTTACCCGCTTCCTACGAGAGTATATATGGACTATCCGTACCCTAGTTGTGTTTTGTGATACTGCCCCTCCTCCTGAACAGCTTCTTTGAAGGGACAAATTTTGTATACATACCTGAAACACAAAACCTATCAGGTTATATCATATGTTTACACTTGAAAGACTTCATGGATAGAATATAAAGAGAATGGAAAACAATAGTTAAGAAATATAACTTGTCCTGCTTGGTCTCGAAGCATTGACCATAAAGTGTGTAGAATTCGCCATCAACACCTGCAATCAAAATCCACTTCTTTTAAGGATTGATGATAAGATTCATCTGCGAGAGATCTTAACTGAATACAGTCAGTCAGTCAGTCAGTCAGTCCTGTAACGGGCCTACCCAAGTCATGTTTTAACTTCTCTGTCAAACTTGATATCCTTTCCTGTGCACTGGACAACCTTGCAGTAGATTCCTTGTACTCTTTTCGAATTTTATCTGCATCTGGGTCCCATAATAATACAAGATAAGGAGATTGTACCTATGAACAACAAACTTGAAGTAAGAAACTCACCAAGATTATCAAGAGGACTTGAGAACCAACTAACGGATCTTAAAAGGTTTTGGCTGACATCCTGCATCTTTCTCAGCCAAGATTGGATATGAATCGTGAAACCTGAAATGAGGGAAAAGATTATAACTATTACGAAAATTCAAAGCATTCATAGGAAACCATAACAGCAACAAAAGATGCCCTCTCCTGACCTAAAAACTGTGTTTGCTTATCCAAGCCTGGTTCATGCACAACACTGGAACTATCAAGATCATCAGTTATGGATGATTGATGGTGATCATATACATTCTTCTCGCTATCACCATCACTGGGTTTATTCAGACTCCCATCCTTCCCTTCATTGCTATCTGCACCAGAGCCAGTTTCCTCAACTTGTCCAGTTCTTTCCCCTGTCCAACGTGAAGCCACAAGGCGACCTATCTCTTCCTTTGACATGTCCTCTATGCTTTCTGATCCATCTTCTGCAACATTAGTATCTTCATGTTCACTTTTACTCTCTTCCTGGAAAATAGAAATATAAGACAGATTTCAAGTCATTATGTGTACTATTCAAAGCATTTCTGTCTGTTCACCATCAGAACTCCTCAAAAGAGAGAGGTGGACCAAACCTGTTCCACAAGACCAATCACGTCATCCTCAGAAGTCAACGAGTCTTCCTTTCCGCTTGCCTCAGTGGACTCAAAGTTTTCCTGAACATTTGGCCTATCTTCATTATCTTTCTCTAACTGTTCTTTTCCCTCAGCCTTCTCAATTTGCTCTTTCCGTACTACACAAGAGTGTCAACAAATAATGTCAAATAAGGTATAGATAAACATGAAGATCGAATACAACTTAAGTGCATGAAACAAACCCTTCAGTTGGTTTACTAATTTGTCAAGGGACTTTTCTTCAGCTTTCAGCACAGATAGTTCTGCTTTGTCTTTGGAGATTGCTTCTTTTGCTTGTTCAACTTCCCTTTTCCTTATGGTTACACCTTCTCGGTACATATCTATCAGTTTCTGCAACTTGTCTCTAGCCTTCTTGCCTGCCTCCCAGCAAGTGTTTCGGCACTTCACTTTACCATCATACTCGTCACTCCCATCACAGCAATCTGCTCTTTTCCCATTTCGAGTTAAAGAGTTAAGTAAGTCGTAGAAGTGATCAAACTACAGGAAAATTGGAATGGGCTGATAAAGTCAATTCCCAGAAGGAAGAGCTATTCAACAAAGAAAGCCAATATTACCACAGATGCCATCATTCACCATGGATGAGTATAGAGAAGTGGGAAGGTGTCCCACATTCCGACAATAAAACTTTCCTTCTGGGCAAGCTGATGTTCCTGTCGTAACACATAAAATTACAAAGCATTAAGCCACTGCCAAAGGACTTCAATGAATTGTTTCCTTAAGCCAACAAACCACAAGCATTGCTGCTATCAACTCACTAGATCAACGTTCTCTCGAGGCAATTCTAACTATCAAGCAATTAAAAGAAAGGGTTTCAGTCGGTCAATTGGGGACAAGCTCAAAGCAGAGCAATGAGTGACCTGGCTCATCGGTGCCATCAAGGCAATCGCAGAAATCGTCGTTGAGCTGAGCTTTAGTGAACTTCCTGGATCCATTCCTACACTTAATGGTCTCTTTTCGGAAGTAATTCTCATCTGGGTAGATTCCGAAAATCCAAAATCCAACATTATTAGTAGAACGAGTTCAGACTTAAAGAAGAGGTACTCGCACAGGGTAAGGGGAAGTACCTTGTGGGGCAATTCCGAGGAATGAAAGGGAAGGAGAAGAAGATGACCATGAAGCAAGAAGAGACAGAATGGCGATTGAAAGAAAGAAAGCGACTTTCATGTTCGTCTTCGCTGCAGTACTATGAACAAAGTTCGAAGCAGCATCAATTATGGTCGCCTCCTCAAAATCGGACACAAGGCCGTAAAGATGGACGGAGACAGACGGATCTATTCAAAGTCGGACGACGAGGGATGTTCTCGTCTCCGAGCTCAATAAAATGACAACGTTTCGATCCATATTACTCTTTGAAGAGCACCGATTTAAGTATTGAACTATTTATTAAGGCAGATGAATATTTATTAGCCAAATATTTTTTCGAATTCTTTTATATTAGTCAAATCTATTGAAATGAATACTTATTAATCAAATGTTAACTCTCCATTAATGGGTTAATTGTATGATTGGTCATTGAGATTACAAAAAAACGTTCAAGTTTGGTCACTCGTAATATTTAAATTCATTGGTGGTACTTCAATTTTCTGAAACCGTTCACTTTTGTTCACTCTCCGTCCAACTCCGTTAACTTTTTCTTATGTGGCAGTCAACACTAAAAGTTGAACGTTAAATGTGTGACGTGGCAATTAAAAAATAATTAAATAAATAAAATTTATTCTTTTAAAATTTCCACCTCATTTTTAATATATAAAAAATATAAATTATTAAAATTAAGAATGGTGGGAATGAAAGCCACCGACGGCGACGGTAACTCGCCGCCGAGAGTGGGCAGCAAGGGACCAATGTCAGGGGAGAGCTCTTCGTAAGGTGAGAGAGGAGGGGAGTTTTCTGGAAGTGCTGGTGAAGCTGGGATGATGGGGAAGGTTGAGAAGTAGTGAGAGCATTGGGAGCAATCCATCATCACTGAAGCCGTCCAAGTGGTGTCTCACTATCTTTTCTATTATGTCTTCCGGCAATTGGGATTTGGGAGAAATCCATCATCTTTGGCGGGCAGAGGCAAGATGCCGAGATCGAAAAAAGGCCGCCTTTTCTTCTCCCCTTGTCCCGTTTCCGTCGCCATCGGCCTCCGACCTCTGCGCCCCTGCTCTCTGTGCTTTATCGATTAACAGAGTAAAGTGCTGCCTTTCTTACGCTACCGACAAAATTTGAAGAAAAACAATACTGCTGCTGCCAGCCAGCTTCCCAACTTCACCGTATAAGAAGATATGGGTAAGGAGAGCGGGAAGAGGCTGAGCACTCACCGGTAACAACTTTTAGATCGCGGCAGAGCATTCAGAGTGTTAGCTTTTACATCGGAGGAGGGCAGAGGAGGGCTGTTGAATGTGAGTGCCTGATAGCTGTTGGTGATCCCGACATCGACCTGCACTGCGTTGCATGCGCGTGTCAAGAGATATATGCAAAATAAAATAAAAATGGCATTGGATGATAATTAATTAACCTGCTGATGGAAGGGAAAGTTGTGGATGACGAGGTTATAGCAGAAGGTGTTGATCCAGCAGATGCTGTTGCCGGCGAGGGTGTTGAGGAGGAAGAAGACCGGGTAATTTTAATTTGAACGAAAGAAGAGGAGCAAAAGTTTATTTAATATTAAAAATGAGGTGGAAATTTTAATAGAATAAATTTTATTTATTTAATTATTTTTTAATTGCCACGTCACACATTTAACGGTCAACTTTTAGAGTTGACTGCCACATAAGCAAAAGTTAACGGAGTTGGAAGGAGAGTGACCAAAAGTGAACGGTTTCAGTAAATTGAAGTACCACCATTGAATTTAAATATTTCGAGTGACCAAACTTGAACGTTTTTTGTAATCTCAATGACCAATCATGCAATTAACCCCTCCATTAACTTTTCTATTTGATGATGGTTCGTTGTTAGACGTGGCGCTAAGTTAGAAGGAATACTCTTACGTGACTGACAATAAAAAAATGCCACATCAGCTGGTCAACCATTGATCATCTTTGTCGTATTTTTTATTATTAGCCAAACCTATGGACACATGGAAGTCAATATTCAAGAATTCTTTGATAAATTTTTTTAAATAAAAATAAAAAATTGTGGTATTCTGACTACCACATGGGAAGCCAACTCAACATCATCAAGTTTAGCCAACATTATTAACAGAAAAGTTAACGGATTAAAACTTATTATTCAATAAGTTTAGTTAAAAAAAATCTAAAAAAGATTTGGTTAATAAATAGACATTACCCTAATTTATAATGCACCAATTTCATTAAAACATGTATTCATAATAATACATCAATTTAACAATGGCAGAAACCAAATTACTATATGTAAAGAAGAAGTGAGGTTATTGTTGCATAAAAAATTACAACTTAGTCACTATATGTGCATTTTACAGTTTGATACTCCAATTTTAATTAAATTACAACTTAATCACTATAATGTAAATTTTACATTTTGATATCCTACATTTAATTATAATGTAAAATCATTGAACAATTATGTTTTTGTATCTAAATTTTATGAGATTTTTGTAGTACTACGATTTTTTAAATTTACATATTGGTCCAATGTTTAGATTTCACTTGAATCCATGAATCCAATCCACCATAATGTAAAAGTATAAATTTAGTTTGTAACATACAAGATGTTTAGATTTCACTTGAATCCATGACTCCAATCCCCCGATCATTTTGAACCAATCCACCATAACATAAAAGTATAAATTTAGTTTGTATCATACAAAATGTTGTATCACTCAACTGTAGGAGAAGATTCGACCAATTTAACCATTAAATAAATAATAAAAGAGAGACGACTCTAAAATATTTCAAGAGCGAATTTATGAACTCATTTAGTACATTTACGGGGTACTAAACAAACTTCTACTAACTACATGTAACAAAATATGCGACATCTACATAAACAAGTGTCAATAAATTGTTACGGTGAAAAGGGTTGACTGTTGTAATTAATGGCCAACTAAAAGAATTTGTCAAAATATTTCCATCATTTATTTCCTCTTCGTTTCATTTTTCATTTGCCTTCTGTTTGAACCTAACTGAGTGTAGGAGTGAGGTTCACTAGAATGGGTCGAGAAGAATGAACGGTTTGGTCGAACAAGAACTTTGAGACAAATGAGAGGGAGGATAGAGCTGAGATAGAGAGAGTGTGTTTAGTGAGAGAAAGTAATGATCTTAGAGATAGATTCTGAAAAATCCCCCCCCCCCTCACCCACCGGAGTAAATGCCATATTTATAGGCTACATGGTGGTGGGTGAGTGGTTGGGTTACAAGTGGGTACAATGATGTGACAACTGACATGTCAAAGATTTAGGCCATGCTTTTAGGACCCTGATCTGACTACCCCTGACATAGGCAGGACTATACCTAGGACTATGATGGTGACGGCCCGTTGGATGTCGCGGCGCCGCTTCTACGGCTACTCGATAAGGGCCCACACCTGTGCAATGCGCCGTCGTTTAGTGTTTACGCGCGCCTCCACGGGGGTGGTCTCTACCTGCGCGCTTGATTCCGGCGCGACTCCCGCGCTCGACTCTGGTGTGACTCGCGCGCTTTGCCTTGGCGTGAGCATCCTTGGTGCTTCCTTAGTGGGGTGAGATCCGAGTCACATGCCCAACAATTGCCCCCCATCAGGGGGTATTGCGCGAATGCCCCCTGTTCGGTCTTCGTGTGGTTGACTCGGATCTGGGCGATTCCATCTTTTTCCGCGCTATTGACTGGGATGGGGGCGATCTGGGTGAGTCGGGGCCTTTCTAGTCCTCGCGTGATCTTCGTGTCGTCAGTGGCACGCGCGTTCTGTATATCGCGGGTTCTGTCCATTTGATTTGCGTGCGCTCGGCTCGATTTTGTTGGGTTCTTCGCTTGTGCGCGTTGTCTAGGTTGAGGATGGCGCCGGTCGAAGTTGGTGTGTCATGCCCCCCTGTTGTGCGCGTGACTTTGAGCTACGCTCGTAAGTCATGTTCTCGCATTGGTGCGCGCTACCTTCGAGTTTGGGATGGGTTGTTTTTTCTTCCTCGTGGGTGTGTCATGCCCCCCAGGCGATGCGTGACACTTGTGGCGTCGCCGACTATTGTCTTTGATGATGGGTGTCCACGTGTCTCTGCCTGATTGGGCCATTTGGGCGGGGATTTCTTGAAATTCGAAAGAATTCGAAAAGATTTTGTAGGATCTGACGGTTACGAATCCCTATGTACCTTTAACCCTTCGTTTTCCCTTGGCTGACTATAAATATTGGTTTGCTAGAGGAGAGTGGGACTCATCTGTTTCTACGACTTTGCTTCTCGTTTCTTTGTTCTTCCTTTCTCTGAGATTCCTCTCCTTCTTCTACAACCTCGATTCTCTTTTCGCTGTTGCTGGATCAAGTTGTTATCATGGCTGGCATCAACATCAACGAGGCTGAGGTCGTACAAGGCGAAGAAGGTAATCTTTCCACTCTTTCGCACACTTCTACTGATCGTTCGCTGGAATTAGACGACGGTTCCGGCGATGGGAACGGCGGCGATGGGGTTCCGGCGACGCCGTCGTTCGACATCGAGTCGGAGGACAATCTCGGCGGTTCTCTCGACGAAGGTATGGGTGCTTCCGGGAGTGGGCAGGCGAGACAAGGGGCTCGTGAGGTGCTGATAATCCGCCGTGGTCGTGATGGGAGGCCGGTGGAAGCTGATGGTGACGTGCGCGAAGACTCTGGCGCACAATCAGAGCCAGACTATAACGTGCGCGTATCTGAGGCTGTGGCTCGACTCGGATTACGCGGTGTTGGCACCGCGTATAAAGTTATAGAGTGGGCCGAGATGTGGGGCGATCAACCCGCGCCGCACGACAACCTCAAGCGTGGACCCAAACACGCCTCCATATACGATGTTGGCGACGTGGAGGAGATAGTGCGCGGGCTGGGCTTGCCCCCCCATTGGCAGTACGCTGCTCCGTCTACGCGCAACATGGTGGGTCATTGCCCCGCAGGATGGTTTGGTGTGTACACAGAGTATTGGGTGATGGGGTTTAAGTTCCCCATCGACCCGCTCTTGTGCGCTCTGTATAGACGCCTCAACTGCTCCGTTGGGCGGCTCTCTCCGTCGGTCATCATGCACGCGAGTTGTCCCCGCCTCGCGTGCAAGCGACTCAATATCGAGCCGACTTACGGCCTCTTCCGGAAGATATATAAGATCAAGGAGCCAACCACGCGGAGCGACTGCCTTTCTATTAAGCGTCGCGACAAGAGGCCCGGGGGCTTCGTGTACGGGTCGCCCAAGTTGAAGAAGACTTGGTTTGAACGTTTTTTCTACGTCAAGCCCGTTCCGGGAGAGTGGGCGAGTGAATTTGTTGAGGAGCCTACTGAATGGAAGAAAGGCAGTACGCACGGGTACGAGTCGGACGCCGGCGTCTACGACGGGCTGGACGATGAGTATGAGGCGTGCATGGATCATAGGATGAATTTATACCACGCGGGAGTGCGCGAGGCTTGTTTGCAGGAGCTGTTCGCCGATGGTTAGTTGTTTTTCTTTTGTTTTGCATTCTATCATATTAACCGCTTTCTTACGACTTATTGGCGCAGGTGTTGATTTCTCCAACCTGGTGAGCATGATGTCGGTTGACGATGTCGTCAAGGCGCCGCGCGCTGATAAGAAGAAGAAGAAGGAGGAGGGTGAGGCGCCGAGGGGCGCGAAGCGGAAGGAGATTGAGCAGCCCCGGACGGTTGAAAATCCCCGTAAGGTGGCTCGCGTAGAGGGAACCAGTGCGCGGGAGGCGCGGGCTCAACCAGCGGAGCAAACGCTGTCTGATGCGCGGCAGCTGTCCTTGGCACTTTCACAACCGGAGGCGGTGGTGACCAGACCCTCTCGGTCTGAGAGAGAGAAGGCGGGGAGCTCGTCGAGTGCCACTGTCCAGCAGAAGTTTCCCAAGATGGCGGGTTTTGGGGGGACTGCCGCGGCCTCCTCTCCCGGCGCTGCTGCTGTCAACTACTTCCGCGATGTGTGGATACACACCTCGGCGGCATGCAACCTTGTGGCCGCGAATACCGCGCTTCGCGCGCTTGGGCCCGTCTTAAGTGTTCCGCCGCGGGTGGAGAAGTCTGATCCTCTTCATGACTTGGCTCAGATCCACTTCGCGGTAAGATCCAGCTCAGTGTTATCGCGTTTCATCTCTCTCTTTTTGGTATTGTCTCGCTAAGTGTATGAGCGCTGTGGTTGTAGGGTTTGTCGGCGACCTTCCGCGCTCAGAAGGAGCGCGCACTGCAGCGCGCCCGGATAAAAGATGACGAGGCCAAGATCATCCAGCTGGAGGGGAAGGTTGTCGGGGCGAACAACCGCGCCGACGTGGCCACCAACAAAGCCAACGAAGCGATGGAGGAACTTGGCCTCCTGCAGAGCAAGCTGGCTGCCGACGTGGAGGCGGCGAAAGAGCAGGTGCGGGCTGAGGAGCGCTCGACCATCCGAAGTCAGCTAGAAGCCTCTTATGATGAGAAGCTGAAGCAAGCTCGCGAAGAGCATCAAAGGGAGAAGGATGACCTGGTCCGCCTTCACAACATCGCGAAGGCGGAAGCTGTTTGCGAGGCCGAGGTCATGACAGTTCGCCAGTTCAAGTCTTCTCCCTCTTTCGGGAAGATTTTGGCTGACGCTATGACCAAGGCCATGATCGCGGTTGGGAAGAAGATTCGGCCGGAGAACCCGGAAGTCCGCTGGGATACGCGCGAGATGGTCCGCCACGTCCAGACATGGATTGGCGAGAAGCGGCCCCTGGAGTCTGACTCCGAGTCGGGTGATGAGGATGACGAAGAGGGTGATGAGGAAGAGGAAGAAGAAGGGGAAGAGCGCCCGGAAGGGGAAGAGCGCCAGGTTGGGGAGAAGGCTGGGGGCGCAGGCAGGGATACTGAGGGAGCTGATGGTGACGATGATGACGATGAAGAGGATGCTCAGCCCCTGACGCGCCGTAAGCAGAGTAAAGAGGGCCAAAGTGCCTAAGTGTCTCTGCGTTTGAAATGTTCCCCTTTTGCGTTTGTTGTTTTGTTATCCCTCTTGTTTTCTTTTAAGTGTAATTGCGATTGCTTGCTGCTCCCGCTTAATTGAATCCAAAGAGTGCTTATTCGCGGCGTTTGTTTGTTCCTTTGCATCGAGTGAGCGCGAGTAGTGCTGGACTATTGCTAATGCTTGTTCTTTCGAACTGTGAGGGCGCGAATAACTCGTAGTTATTGCTATTTTTTGTTCTCTCGAACTGAGGAGGGCGCGAATAACTCGTAGTCATTGCTATTTTTTGTTCTTTCGAACTTGTGGAGGCGCGAATAACTCGTAGCTATTGCTATTTTTTGTTCTTTCGAACAAAGGAGGGTGCGAATAACTCGTAGTTATTGCTATTTTTTGTTCTTTCGAACTGTGAAAGCGCGAGTAACTGGGAAGTCAATATTATTGTTGATTTCTTGTTGCCATGCACAAATGTTACATTAACTTGAGCAACGATATTTCCTGAGATTCTGCCCGTTCCATGTTCTTGGAATTTTGTTGCCCCCCAATTCGCTGAGCTTGAAGGTATTGGCACCGACAACCTCTCGGATCAGGTACGGGCCCTCCCATGTTGAAGCGAGCTTGCCATGTTTGGGGTCGGGGCGGAAGTTCCTGCGTAGCACTTGATCTCCAAGAACCAATTTGTGCGGGACCAGTTTCGCGTTGTAGTACTTGGCTACTTGCGCTTTCGTCGCGGCTAGTTTGATGGCTGCCAACTCTCGTCGTTCTTGTGCTAGCTCTAGGTCCAGCAGGTGTGCCTCGTCGTTATCTGCCTCGTTGTACGCCATGACTCGGTATGTTGGGAACGTCACCTCTATGGGTATAACCGCGTCTGTGCCATAGGTGAGCGCGAATGGGGTTTCGCCCGTTGCCACTTTGTAGGTGGTACGATGCGCCCATAGCACCGTGTTGAGTTCATCTGCCCAGTTGCCCTTGGCGTCGTCTAATCTCGTATGGAGGCCGTGCAAGATGGATTTGTTGGCTGCCTCCGCTTGGCCGTTGGCCTGGGGGTAGGCTACCGATGCGAACCTCGCGATGGCTCTCACTTGGTCGCAAAAGTCTATGACCTCCGCGCAGTCAAATTGTTTGCCGTGATCGAAGATGAACGCATTCGGGACTCCGTAGCGCGCCAGGATATTACTTTTTAAGAAGTGGGTTACCTGATGCGCCGTTATAGAAGCTAGCGCCTCCGCCTCGATCCACTTGGTAAAGTAGTCCACCGCCACAATTATGTACTTGCGCTTCCCTTTTGCTGTTGGGAATGGGCCCAGAAGGTCTACTCCCCATTGTGCGAAGGGCCAGGCGCTCAGGTTGCCTTGGAACTCGGTCGATGGAAGATGATGTTGGCGCGCGTGTAATTGACACTTGTTGCATTCGTCAACGTACTTCTTTGTGTCCTTTTTCACCCGCGGCCAATAGTACCCATGTAACAGTATGGTGCGCTCCATACTGCGCGCACCGGCGTGCATCGCGCACATTCCTTCATGCAGCTCTCGCACCATGTTGCGTGCCTCGTCGTTTCCGATGCATTTGAGATATGCTCCGGAGTATGATCGTCGGTATAAGTCCAGGCCAATTATTGTGCATCGGGCCGCCTTCTGCCTCAAGGTCCATGCTTCCTTGGCATCTTCTGGCACCATGCCGTCTTGTAAGAACCTTATGATCGGGGTTCTCCAGTCATCTTCCGCGATTTGGGTGGTATTGACCGTGGCCTCTTGGTTGGTTTCCTCTTCCTCCTTTTGTACTGTCACTAGGCGTGTAGACTCAAAGTTTGTTGCTGTTGCCAGCTTGGATAGCGCGTCGGCGTGCATGTTTTCTTCCCTTGGTATCTGCACGTATGTCACCGCCTCGAAGGCGGTTGCTCATTGTTTGACGCGCTCCATATAATACGCGAGTGCATCTTCTTTGCCATCGAAGGCTCCATTCAGTTGGTTGACAGCTAACGATGAGTCGGAGAGTACTCTGATTGTTCTAGCGCCCAAGTCATTGGCAGCCGCCATTCCCGCCAAGATGGCTTCATATTCGGCGGTGTTATTTGTCTTCAGGGCTCTGAATCGGATTGCTATTTCGTGCACAACACCTGTGGGCGTGCGCACGACTACCCCCGCGCCGGCGCCGTGCTTGCTCGCCGCGCCGTCTACATAAACCTCCCACACCCCTTCCGGTGCTGTTTCCAGGGTTACTCCCTCCGCGATGAAATCTGCCAGGATTTGCGCCTTTATTGCTGGACGCGGAGCGTACTGGATGTCGTACTCTAACAGTTCGACGACCCACTTTACCATCTGCCCCGATACCTCCATTGAGGTTAGGATCTTTTTTAACGGGAGGTTGGTTAGGACAGTGATTCGGTGTGCCTGAAAGTACGGGAGTAGTTTTTGCGCTGCGCTAACCAGTGCTAATGCTGCTTTCTCGATAGGGGAATACCTTGTTTCTGCGCTGACCAGAGTTCGCGATGTATAGTACACCGGGCGCTCGCCTTGACCGTCTCTCTTGGATATTAGTACTGCGCTTACGGCTCTTGTGGACACGGCAAGATACAGAAAAAGCTCTTCATTAATTTTTGGGGCAGTCAATACAGGGGGGAAACAAGATAGGCTTTGAGCTCTAGGAAGGCCGCTTCGCACTCCTTGGTCCATGCAAATCACGCGCCGTTTTTCAGTGTCTTGAAGAATGGGGCGCACTTGTCTGCTGATCTTGGGATGAACCTTCCTAGTGCCGCAATTTTCCCGTTCAGAGACTGGATCTCCAATGTGTTTCTTGGCGCGCGCAAGCCCTGGACTGCGGTGATTTGCTTTGGGTCGACTTCGATGCCGCGCTTGGTGATCATGAATCCCAAGAATTTTCCGGCTTCTGCTCCGAACACGCATTTCAGCGGGTTCAGGCGGAGACTGTGTTTGCGGAGCGCTTCGAATGTCTCGCGCAGGTCATCCAGATGTGACTTCCCTGCCTTGGTCTTGACGATGAGCTCATCCACATATGCCTCAATGTTGCGCCCCCTTTGTTGTGAAAACACCGCGTCGATCATCCTCTGGTATGTCGCGCCAGCATTCTTCAGCCCAAATGGCATTCCGACGAAACAGAAGTTTCCGAACGGCGTCATGAAGGCTGTTTTCTCTTCGTCTTCGCGCGACATTGGGATTTGGTGGTACCCTGAGAACATGTCCAGGAAAGACAGTGTTTCATGGTTGGCGGTGGCATCGATCAGTTGGTCGATGCGCGGCAGCGGGTAGGGATCCCCTGGGCACACCTTGTTGATCGTCGTGTAGTCGACGCACATTCGCCAAGCCCCCGAGGACTTTTTTACCAAAACCACATTCGCCAGCCACTTCGGGTATTTCACTGGACGGATTAACCCCGCCGACAGCAGGCGCGCCACCTCTTCCTCAATGGCTTTAAGCTTGTCGCTCGTGAAGCTCCGTCGCACCTGTTGTCTTGGCGTCGCGCTGACTGGGACCCCAAGGGAATGTTGGGCGACTTCTCTTGGTACCCCTGGAATGTCTTCCGTGCACCACGCGAATAATTTTTTATATTCTTTCAGCAGCTTTATCAACGGTTCAATCGCGTCTCCAGGGACGTGAGTTGAGACGCGTATCTTGCTTGTCGGCTCGTTCGGATCAAGGGCGACTTCGAAGTCAGAATCCATTGACTCCGGGCGAGGCTCTTCTGCCCTTGTGTCAACGATGTTGGTCTGGCGGACTTCTCCTAGCTTTGGGGCCTCCCATGTTGTCCCGCGCGCTTCGCCGCTCCCCTTCTTAGTGGGAAATTTAAGTTTCTGGTGGCATGTTGACGGGAGAGCCATGAATTTTGCCAAGAGCGGGCGGCCAAAAATGCCATTGTGGGGGGATTTGCAGTCGACTATCGTGAACTCGACTTGCCTCGAGAATCGTGGCTCTTGGTCCCCGAGCACGACTGGAAGAGTGACCACACCGATAACTGGGACCCTCGTGCCGGAGAAATCGACTAAGTTCCCGTAGGCGGGCTTGATTAGCCGCGGGTCGATGTCCATCTGGTCGACCGTGCTTTTGAAAAGGATGTCCGCTGCGCTGCCCCCGTCTATCAGTAGGCGGCGAACCTTGCAGGCGGCGACGAGGGCGGTGATGATGAGTGGGTCCTCTGACGGGACCCCTCCAGGGAGTTCAGCATCGTCGAAGCTCAAGTTGCACTTTATTGGAGCTTCCGTCGCCGCGCACTCTATGGCGCGGTCGCGCTTGGTCTTTTTCTTCGGGCGGTCCCCTTCTATAGTTACCACCCCAATTTCTTTTCGCACTACGTACGAGCCCGAGGCGTCGTCGTAGTCGGCCTGTGGCGGTGGTGGGGGTTCCACGGGACGCTCCCCCGGTTCTTCCGCTCCGCGAATGAACTCATTCAGGAGTCCCCTTTGTATGAGGCCCTCGATCTCATAGCGCAACTCTATGCAGTTTTCTGTCCAGTGACCCGTGTCCCTGTGGAATTCGCAGCGCTTCTTGGGGTCTCGCATGTGCGGGAGGGTCTTCATGGGGGCGGGCCAGTTGATTTTGTACCCCTTCTCTCGCAGAACGTGGTAGACGTTCTTAATCGTGTCATTGAGGGGTGTATAGTTTGGCGGGCGCCTATCTGGCGACCGCCCCCGATGGGCTTGTTCTGGAGGAGGTGGTGGGCGTCTGGCGCCGCTGTGCGCTTGCAACAGCTGGTCTCGCGACACAGGAAGCTGCCTACGAGCTTGATCTTCTTTGGGCATTTTGGCGGGTTCGAAACGTCTGATGGAGCCGGCGCCCAGCGTCTCTTCCAAAGTGATGGCCTTTTCAATCTTGACCTCAAGCTCCGTAGATAGAGTGATTGGTCTCTTTGCTAGCGCTCTCTTGAGCTCCATGCTAGTGGTGGCGTCCATGAGGTGATGGGCGGCGGTTTCTGGGGTGAGATCTCTTACGGCCATTGCCACCCTGGACCACCTGACGTAGAACGCCCGCAAGCTTTCTCCATCCTTCTGGCGGATGTCTATCAGCGCCTTGAGGTGGAGAGGCCTTCTTTTTTGTGACGCGAACTTCGTTGTGAACAGGAGTATGAACTCTTCGAAAGAGCGGATGATTCCATTGGGGAGGCGGTTATACCAGTCGAGGCATATCTCGGAAAATGTTGATGGGAACGTCCGGCACAGTGCCGCGTTAGAGATGGTTTGGAGTTGCATCCGTAGGCAGAAGGTGCTGACGTGATCCTCAGGGTCGGTTGTTCCATTGTACGTGGGGAGGGTGGGTGGCGTCCCGCTCAAGTGTTCCGCCATGATCTCCGCGCACAACGGTTGATGTAAGGCCTTTCTAGGCGGATTGGGGCGGAACTGTGGGGACAGGTGCTGCTCCAAAAAGCTGAGGTCCGCTCTTCCGGGCGGTTCGTATCGCTGGGCTTCGGGCGCGGTCAACTCGACCGCTGCCTGATGTGGTGGCGGGACATCGCCTGATGTCCCTCCTTGCGTTAGCTGTAACGCGTCAGACGGCGCACTCGGCGCTGCCGCAGCTTCTCTGCTCATCATGAGCGCAATAACTTGGCTCATCTGCTTTTGCATATCGGCGATGACGTCATTTTGCTTCGTCACCAGCTGCCTCATCTCCTTGGCCGTCAGTTCGGGCTCTTCTTCCTCGATGAGTACCGCGTCGCGGTTGCTGGCTTCCGCGAGTCCCGCGAACACCCTAGGATCCGTCATTGCCTTGATGGGGGTTACCTCGCCGGGTATGTTGGAGTTTTGTTCTGCCATTTTTTCTTCAGGCCCCACGGTGGGCGCCAATTGTTTGAACCTAACTCAGTGTAGGAGTGAGGTTCACTAGAATGGGTCGAGAAGAATGAACGACTTGGTCGAACAAGAACTTTGAGACAAATGAGAGGGAGGATAGAGCTGAGATAGAGAGAGTGTGTTTAGTGAGAGAAAGTAATGATCTTAGAGATAGAGTCTGAAAAATCCCCCCCCCCCCTCACCCACCGGAGTAAATGCCATATTTATAGGCTACATGGTGGTGGGTGAGTGGTTGGGTTACAAGTGGGTACAATGATGTGACCACTGACATGTCAGGGATTTGGGCCATGCTTTTAGGACCCTGATGTGACTACCCCTGACATAGGCAGGACTATACCTAGGACTATGATGGTGACGGCCCGTTGGATGACACGGCACCGCTTCTACGGCTACTCGATAAGGGCCCACGCCTGTGCAATGCGCCGTCGTTTAGTGTTTACGCGCGCCTCCACGGGGGTGGTCTCTACCTGCGCGCTTGATTCCGGCGCGACTCGCGCGCTCGACTCCGGTGTGACTCGCGCGCTTTGCCTTGGCGTGAGCATCCTTGGTGCTTCCTCAGTGGGGTGAGATCCGAGTCACATGCCCAACACCTTCCATAACCTTTACTTTGCCTTCTTCGTCTAACCCTAATTAGTATATTTATTTTTATGTATTCTAATCACAAGTATGAACGGGTCCAAGGCCCAATGAATTAGGATTTCCCTATTGGGTCCGGTCATTTCGGGACAAGCGGATAATTTATGATGAAGAGGATGAGCTTCAAGAGAATGATTCGGAGTTCTTGCATCAAGAACGTTTTATAAAACTCTTGGACTCCCGAATTTGGATACTCGACTCACTAACAGTCTAGAGAATTAATAGTTGAACCATGAACCACTAACTTTTTCAGCTCAATGTCGAGTCCAATTAAAAATAAATATATATATGGTTATTATTTATTAGAAATTCGTCATTTTCCACTATGGGATTTGAAGGCTTGAAATTTTAGGCAAGTTCCAGTTTGTATTCCTTTTGCTACTCTCTAGAGTTTTTCTTTTTAATTCGGGCTAGAATTTTCAACAATTATACATGCAATGTTTGGCTATGTATCTACACATATCAAATATATAGTTTCCATTTTCTATAAAAAAAAGTAAATAATTATCATCTTAAATACATCAGCACAAAAATAATTAAGCCTAAACTATGCAAATTACAGTTTGGTACCTAAACTTAATAGATATTTAGATTTATAACCTAAATAAATTTTTTTGGCATATAGTCCTCAAAATATTGATGGAACATTACATTTTAGTACCTAAAATTTTTTGTATTACATTTTTATACCTAAACTTTTGAAGTTCTACAAATAGATCTATTTTTTGTTTGTGTAATTAAAACAACCTTTAATAAATGGGTATCCATACCCAACTTATACACATTTAGATTATGAAAGTAAATATACATACCCTATCCAAACCCAACCCAACTACAAACTTCCAATGTCACCCATACCCTATCTATAATCAATGAGTCTACTTGGGTTTAGGTTAATATCATTTATTAGCCAAAATTTAAAAAAAAAAATTTAAATTGGATGTCGACCATCATATATCTCTTCACGATCAATATTACTAACAAAACTGCTAACAAAAAATTAAATTTAGACTACTAAAACTAACAAAACACCGTAACATGTCACATAACACATGCTCATAAGCCATCTCCGCTCCGCGACAAGGCGCAACATCGCAACCCTAAAACACAAACAATAAATTCCGAACCATCATCTTTAAGATTATTGCCATCTTGTCATTGATATGGTCAAACCAGTAGTTCGCTGGTAAAATGAAAGACCTTGTTAGGCAAAGGAAATGACGAAGGTAGGAGCCGCCTTATTATACAGTGAAGCACCGTAGTTGAAGGGGGACGGATGTGTCTTCAACTTAATAAGGAACTTGGTTCATGTAGCCGTAGGTGAACTCGTCGCTGGATTAAACATTTAGGTACGTGCTTTCCCCAAATGTGTGCAAGTAAAAAAAAAACTAACAATCAGGCCATTGATATGCCAAATTACAGACGAACCCTTAGGGTTTTATTATTTCACAGTAAGCATGGCCAAGCTGCCTGAGTCGAGTCTTCACAACTACAAAGTGACTGTCTGCCACAAAGGGGGAAGTTGACCACCCTCAAGCTGTTTTGTCGTAGTGAGTGTTGCTTCTTGCGCTCTCCAAAGTAGCTTTGTCAGCAGTGATAAAGAAGGCGGAAATGGATGCTGTTAACAAATGACACCACAAGCCATTGTGTGAGTACCGGAAGGAAAGCACCAAAAGTCAAGTACAACACTAGCGAGACAGGAGACCTCAAGCAGATGCAATATATAATCAGAAATTGACTGGCCAGGGTTTTCAGAAATTGACGTTCCCTTGCAGCCATACATAATCAGCAGATGCAATATAGGTCACCGCTAGCGAGACAGGAGACCTCAAGCGGCGTGGTTATGTGCCAAAAAGGCTGCATAGGGCGAAGATATGCATTCACGAGCTAGCATTTGTATTTACAGTCTAATAAGGAACCTGGTTAATGTGCAGTTCAACTCATGGCAGTGCATAAGGGCAATCGGCTTTATCACATTGTTCGAAAAAACGGTGACGTGTGTGCTTTTCATGAATGTTTTTAGGATCGCAAGGTGCGACTCTCATAGACACTCAGAACTTCTTTCCATGTAACTACTAGTGGCAAGAGATCTAGGACCTAAAGCGAGATTCCGCCATGTCAAATTGGTGAACTTGTGCCGAGCGAACACACGCATTCACTAGCTATCATTACTATTTACAGCCTAACAAGGGAACCATGTAAGGTTAAGAGTGTATGTTCAGAGTCATACCAGAGGATATGATGAGCGCTTGAGCAGTGTGATTTAGGTTCCTCTTTGCCCATGGAATCTTGCGACAAGCTACTACCTGAACATATAGAAAAAAAAGGTGAGGAAGTATGAAAGAGATTTGCCAATTTGCTACTCTCTCGTCGATGACACATTCACATAAGAAAGATAGCAGTTCATAGTGTATCTATTTTACATGGCACCTCAATTCGAAAATTTCTATGACTCTACAGTGGTGATGAATATGAACATGCAGATATATACCATCCACATATGCCTCATACTTCTCACGCCATCACCAGAAGAGGGCACAATCAACTCAAAGTGTCCACAAAATTAACACTACTTGATCCCCACAACCAGGCCACCTAGGTTCACCATTACAAACCCAAATCCAGCTGATCACTTAGAGCTTCAGCATCAGGAGCAAGCAACTCATCCATTCAAAGATTGGGACATAAGAAACAACAGAACAATTTTTCACATAAACTGGTGAAATCCTTACCACAAGGGCATCATCAAAAACTTACCACAGGCATCGCGCTGAGTACGGCCGCGATGGCAGCTGCTTTAAATCCCGCAACAACGCTTTCTGCAACAAGAGAAAACGGCGTGGGGGAAGAACAGAAAGAGACGCGAGAGATGAGAATCGGGCAGAAAACAAAAGCGCAAAAACGAGGTTCAAACCGGATGAAAGAGGACGAGAAGGGGGAAGCGAGCTTTAAACCTCGGGCAAAAGCTTTGCTGCGTTTCTCGTCGGGAGAAGCAATCGCGAAGGAATTTCTGTTATAGATGGCGCCGCTGGCATTGCGATGGCTGCTGCTGCCACGATACCGAAGACTTCCCATGGATTGCTGCTCCCAATAGCTTCGAATATCAGACATAATCCCCATTTCTTCAACGATTCAGGATCAAATAAGTACTCGCGCTCTCAAAGCAACGGGGGAGTCGGGACAGATATCTGTAGACCTTCAAATGGAATCCGAAATTGTTCTTTATATGGAAGAAGAAAGGCAAAACGTCTCGCTGGCGGCGGTGAAGCGGTCGCCGGGACAAATAACAAAAAGAAAAAAAAGGCTAAATGCAAATCCAACTTTGCCTTCCAATCATCCACAGTCGCGCGACTCGCGCCCAACTAATCAGATGGTACGGCATCGTTTAATTGTGAATCCAACTTTGCCTTCGAATCGCCCACGTGTCCCGTCCTACTAAACTAATGATACGACACCGTTTAATTGAACGGGTCGGACCACGACCCGGCTGAGTTGCCGTTGGCATCTTAACCAGAAAGGGTTTTGGGGGTTTCACAGAGAGAGGAGCTTGCGGAGGAAGGAGCCAGACGACGGTTAGTAATGGCGGATTCGAAATCGGAGATTCTCAAAAGGTTGCGCTGCCATCACTGCGCCGGCCCTCTTACCAAAGAAGCGGTGAGTCCGTTCTTCTTTCGTTATCTCCCCGTTCTGAAAATTTCTCTTCCTTCCATTTTCTTTTCTCATTTGATCATATGGCGAAGACGATTCAATTTTTGCAGGAAACTAGCGGCTGGACGAATCGACCCCTGCTCCGAGACAGTTTTTCCATGGTAAAGTTTCGGTTTATTCTCTTTCTCTACGGGAATTTACCAGGATTCCCCTGCCTTTTTTTTTTCTCTATGGATGATAAGGGGTGAGTGGTGAATATTGATCTTTGAATCTAGCGGTATCTGGATACTCTGAACTATCCGAATTCGTGCCAATTCTACGTCGTGAGCGTACGCATATCGATTCCTCCATGAATTGACTGTTTACCAGTTGGCCGGAGCTTTAGCTTATTGATATTAGTTTAACACTTGTGTGAGAATGGGGTTTCCTTGTGTCATGCCAATTGGTAATCTAACCATTACTTGGTTTATGAAGATTTTACTATCTATTATTCTAATTGTATCCCTTTGTTGCTTTGGCTTAGATTGGAACTGCTGTTGGTGGTACCGCTGGCGCATTCTATGGGTTTAATCATGGTATGAAAACAAGATTTCTTACATTTTTGTTGGTCAAAGGATGGTCACCAATTGTTTAACTCTACAAAATTTGTGATGCAGTGATGCCGATAGTTCAGAAGTACATAAAAGGACCGATGTGGGTTCATTTCTTCATTGGTGTAAGTTCGTACCACTTCTTTGATTATCTTTTTTTCTGCTGCTATTCTGGAATACCTTCATTTGCAAGGTACAGTTATATGCGCGTGAACAGCATATTTCTCCGATCTACTTAGTTCTGAAACTGAATTTTGCTTCAATCCCTGGTCATTGTGTTGATTGTTGAACCATGAACGGCAGATCAATGCTTTTTTCTTTTGTAAACTGTTCTGGTTATGTAGTTAGTCTAAGTAGGTCTAGTTTAGTCGTGCTTATTGTGATGACAAATTATCCTTTGTTATGCTTAGGACTGAGTTTACTCTACCTTGTTCAGTTCTTCTCTTGTTGGTAGTTCCTACTTAAAAATTTACTTTTTTAATATGCAGGCACCTCCAGTAATAGTATTCGCTTCAGCTTGTGCCGGATTTGCAGGTCAGCAACGCTCCCCTTTAAAGTTTGCGCTTCCAAATAGATCAATATAAAGATTGTTTGCTTAGATAGATTTAACTAGTGTTCCATGTTTCATCTGATTCCCTAGCTGTGACTTTTGCATCTAACTGGGTAACCCTTCTAGCTTTTTTGAAGTCTTTCTACTTGTATCACTTAGCTCCAAGCGGAATCTCCTTGTCCATGGAAAAGGAAGAAATCAAATTCAATCTTTTACTGGGTTCTGAATACTAGTACTCAAAATGCTGTCGATTCTGTGGTTTCCACCATATAGGATTGTCTCTGATGCTGATCCACTTGGTTGAAGCTGTTTGATATCCGACCTGAATGAATGATTAAAGTGCCGGTTTACAATTCATTGCTCTGAATGTGGGAATTATGGTTGTCCAAAGCTCTTTTATGTGCTCCAGCATCCTAGTGGTCAGCATGTTTTTGTGAAAGTTGTGGTCTAGTATATTGCTATAATAATTCATCATAGAAAGAGAACGCCAGAAACTCTCTTGAATGTTAACCAGAGTTATCTTTGTTCCGGGAAAATGCATAGGTGGTGCAGTTCCAGCACTAGCACAACTTGCTTCTTCTGGGTATCATGCTGCCGTTTCCTCTCCATCCTTGAATCCTCCTCAAGAAGATAAAGTGCACAGGTCCAGAAGTTCTTCTACCTTGTAATGTCTTATGGTTGACATTACAGAGATACATTCTTGTCTCGCTTCAAGTTCTGTCCAACATGTAAGGGTGAAGCTGGTGATTGGTTACTTGGCTTGGCTGGCTAAACAATGCTGGTTCTCAAGAAGTTTTGCTCATGTGCATACTATTGTCTTATTTTTGTCGCTCGGTTGTACATGCCGCTATGTTATGCTTCCTATAGTTGCTTACAGCTACAATTGAAGAATGGCCTTCGTGCTCTTTCTGTTTTTCAAACTTAAGCTACACTTTACTCATGTAATTGAGATATGCAGTTTTTTCTCCTCGCCTGTATTTCACTTTCAACGTTATCAGAAATAGACGATTTTACAAATATAAAAACAGGTTTATTTCCCCCCCTTCACCATGAAAATGGACTTCATCTGCTTTTATCTTCAGCAAGACAAATCATGGGTTTTCTTTTGTACTCTGCCAGAAACAGTTAATGGTTCTCTCTTTTCCAGATATCAGAAGAACGGATCCCACTCACGATCTCTCCCTGTACCATCCATCTTCAAGCTTCAGCTTCCAGCTACCTGGTTCTGCAAATCCAGTCCCTGGATCTTTCCCTTGATCTGTCTCCTTACTTTGCCAACTCTTTCCAGCATTCCCTTAACTGCAATGTCAAATGCATCTTCAAAGTCCTTCGATTTTGATCTTGGATCCCTGTATATCACCTTTGGGATCAAATTTATCACTTCTTGTCTCATCGACACTACTTCCGCCTTTGAAACTTGAAGCAGTTGCATTCTGATGCTCACTCTCCCTTCTCTCACCAGATTTTCTGGTATGTAAACAGAATAAGAAGAGTAATTCCTTGGAAGATGCCATATGTACTGTGTATAAGCCGAAAAAGGATGGAAGAATACAGGAATACACCCGGCCAAGATGGAATCGAAAGTTGACCTCCTGGTGTATGAATCGCCAGCAGGCTGCAGGCAAAAGACCGAGTTCCGAAACACTTTCAACACCTCAATTGGACTCATACAATTGGCTGAATGACAGTTCAGCAGCTTGCAATTCCTCCTTGAAGCTAAACACTGGTTTATGAGCTCCCCACGGATGGAGTCTGTCATGTTAGCTCGCGGCCCACCCACGAAGGAGAATAGGTATGGCCTTTTTTGTCTTGTCATTCTCTTCTGCCATCGATGCACTTCTTTTAGCCGACGAGGATGGAAGTATGTTGGGTATGGAATCCCCAACTCGTTGCTCCATGAAGTTGTCTCAATCGAAAGCATTGTCATGTTCATTGCTTCAGGAAGTTGCATCAGCTTGCTTCCCCAATGTGAATCATCGTCATCTGGTCTTCGAAGATCCCAAGCAATTCTGCCTGAAACAAAGAAATGGTCCCTTCCCCATAAACCTGATGTCTTCCAATTGGGCTGGTTTTTTAGCCAGCTCACCAACTCAAAACCTAGAGCATCTCTCACAGTTGTATTGTAATCCCCCCAGAGATGTCTAACAATGTCGAAACCGGGATAGAATGGCACGTAGATCAAGGAGGCCAAGGATGAATCATTGGTCAAGCAATCATAGCTCTTCATCATCTTGTGACGGAAGATGACTTCGAGACTGAAGTGATTGGTAGCGTACCAGCTACTCGCAGATCTCTCCTCTGTGATCAAACCCAGGTCACCAGATGGGTTCTTAATATTGACCTGAGCTCCAAATCCCAAGTTGGAGAGGTCTGGGCACATATCAGGGTTCTTGAGCAGTGAATTATCGCGACAGCTCTTGAACACATCGTCGTTGAAACGGGCAGGCAGGTGATGAACGTAGATGTAACGTCCTGAGCAAGTATTTCCTCCAGCCACATTGCTTGCGGCGTATTGTTGTTGGAATGTAACACCAGCAGCAGTAGTCTCAGTGAGGTACTTGGCGAGGGAAGCAGAGTTATGATGAATGGTGAAGTAAGAGATGAAGACTAGGGTCAAGGCAATGAGAGAGAACAACAAGAGATGGTTAACCCAGGCTATGGTTTGGGTTTTAGCCATACCTTGAGAATGATCTCTTCCAGGCCAAGTAGTGATATATGAAGACTTTGAAGGCTTCATTTGGTTAGTGTGGTGAAATACAGAGGAAGGGAAGAGTGGTTTTGACTTTTTGAGTAAGAAATAGAAGAGTCGAAATAATGCTCTTATATACCTAAAAAATGAGGTGGTGTCTTAAGTACTGTCATTAAGCTGCATGCATTACGTATGAATTTTGTGTTGTCGATATGTTGGTAAAATATGATCATCCTCAATTGATTCTTTGTCTTCCCAAAACTTAAATTGCATTTAGCACAAATGATCATCTTACTTCTTTCACAACCCATGAGTGATAATTCAACAATTTTTGCCTACTTCAATCTATTATCCAGCTGCCTACCTTCAAGGCCTCAACCCGTAGTTATTCCGTCCACATCAGTTAAGGTTGCTGACTGACTAACACTCTGAACTAACACTCGAATGTATTGACTATCCAAGTTGACGGTTAATTGACATACCATGCAAATTGGAGAAATTATTTTGAAAACATAGACATCTTTAGGAGTTCCGAAAATTTTGGTGCAAAGTAGTCTATTCGTGTAGAGTTCGGACCAAATTAGAGTATCAAATCTTAAATATATCCTAATATTTTATTCCAAAGTCATATCTTTCTAAAAAACTCTGATTTGTCATCGCCTTTGTCACACGTCAAATTTAGTTAGACGTGGTCAGCCTCGTGGACTGCTAGTTGTAAGATTTCCTCAATGTTGCATACTCTTTACCTTCTCAGCTCTCACTACTTGTGGATTGTCCTTTCCCCTTTTCTTTTATTTCACTTGTCCCACTATCGCCGACTCCTTCTCCGACCTAAGCTTATGGTCCAAATACAAACGTCGACCATTGAATATGTTTCTACTACTTTAGCGGATCGAGATTCATGATTAGATATATAGTTCGTGAGTTCATGAATTAATTCGCACCTAATAAATTGCTTTCACTTTTTTTTACACTTGAAAATAAAATTAGATAATAACTAGTAATAAGATAGTATCGAGAATAATTAATTTGCATTCTCAACGCCTGTATTTTTTAGACTTGTTGGCACTTCAACAATGGTTTCATTTCCCGCGGCTCTTTAATTTTGTTTGGCATTCCATGTTTGTTATCTTTGCAGGAGTTTGATGCATTGCTTTTGTCTAACAGTTGATGTTCGATCTACGACTTTCATCCTGCAAAGGATTGCTGCTTAGTCATATATTTTGTCCAAGGTGAAAAGGTACAATAGGCTTTTTTCTATTTAAATCCACAATCGGTAAGATCATATTAAAAGGAGGAGTCCAAAGGCATTGTATAATATGACATTTATGATCAAGTTTTGATGATGGATCATCAACGATGTTATGTTAGCTTCCGGTAGAGTTTGTGAAGTCATATTTCTCAAGACTTTTGTAGCAGAATGTAACAGTGTATAACTATCATACAAAGATGGTGGAACCACTCTTTCCTATGAGAGGTTTTTTTTTAATCCAAGATAAGCCCCCAGGGCATGGCCGGCCAGCACAATTACAAGAAAGACACTAAAAAAGAACGGTAGTCCATATGCAACCGGACCCCCGATAAAAGAGCCTGTTTTGCCACGAGGTGGGCAGCTCTGTTGAAGCTCCGAGGAGCAAAAAGACACGAAACGGATAGGAAGGAGGAAAGGAGAGAGTGGACTTCCTCTAATATAGCTCCCACTCTTGAATGCGAAGCCTTCTTTGATGACACATCCTTGATGACCAATTGAGAGTCCCCACGAAAAACAACAGTCAAGAAGTTGTGGGTCAGACACCATTTCATAGCATCACGAATAGCAAGTAATTCTGATATATAGGCATCTGAGATACCCTGATAGAATTTATTAACTACAAATGTGATATTTCCATCACCTGAAAAGCCGACAAAGCCAGTTGCACATCCTTGAGGAATTTTTGTTGCGCCGTCAAAACGAACTAGGATACCTTCACTAGGGAGGGAAACATATGTTCTCCTTGAATGGGGACCTTGGCCTGTGGAAGAGTGGGGCATTGACTTTCGGACTTCTTCGGATCTCTGAACCTTCTCTGCCTCTGCCATTCTCCATTCCTCCACCTGCGCTAATAGTTGCCTGTATAGAACATGTGACCTCAATAAAATGTGTCCATAAGTATCCTTGCATCGACCTTTCCATATTCTCCAAAATAAGAAAACAATTAAAGCTACATCATTCTTGGAGATATGAGGCATGAAAAAGAGGTTTCTCCATGCAAGATCCATAGGACTTGCCCTCATCATATCTCTTATATGGTCAAGGTCAGATAGTGTCCACAGTTCTCTAGTGATTCTACAGTCGAAGAAGCAGTGCTTGAAGTCTTCATTTACCTCGCAGCAAACGAGACATAAACTTGATGAAATAATTTTCTTATAAAGGAGGATTCCTTTAACTAGTAAGAATCCACGAACCAATCTCCAAAGAAAGAATTTTAGTTTAGGAGGTATTGGAGTATTCCACATGAATTTCCAAAACTTGGTGTTCAAAAATTCTGGCAGGGAGTTCCTGGATGGAGTTAAACCATCCAAAAGGAGGTGGTACCCCGATTTAACTGTATAATGGCCAGACTTGTCAAAGTGCCAAATCAATTTATCTTCTTGGGGGAAGATGGGAGAGGGATGGATAAGATTTTATCGATCGTGGCAGGGGGGAAATAAGGTTTTAAGTAAGTCTAGATTCCACGCCATAGCATTAGAGTCCAGAAGAAATGAGACCATTGGGTGATCTAGCGAGGAGCCAATTAGCAACTTAGGGCTAGAAGGAGGGTCTGACGGTAACCAAGAGTCAAGTAAGGTGTTAATCCTAGATCTTGATCCTACTTGCCAACGAAGACCTTTAATCAGTAAATCTCTACCCTGCAAGATACCTTGCCAGGCCCAAGAGGAGCGGGCCCCCTGACGGGCTAGAAGGAAAGGTTCGGTGAAATGGTATCTTGCCTTATACATTCTGGCAAGAGTATTCTCCGGTTCCCGGATAAGTTTCCAGGCTTGCTTGGCTAGCATTGCTACATTGAACCTATCAAAGTCTCTAAAACCCAATCCTCCTTCAAATTTGCTGAAACAACATTCAGACCATGATAACCAATGTATACCTTTTTATTTGTCTTGGCCTGCCCACCAAAAAGTGGAGAGTTGCTCGTTCATCCTTCTACACAGATTAGAAGTGAGTCTAAAGCAGGACATCGCAAAGACGGGAGTTGCTGTCCCAACTGCTTTAATGACTACTTCTTTGGCAGCCAGAGACATGTTTTTTGATTTCCAATGGCGTATTCGGTTTGCTAAAGAGTCTTCAATATACCGGAAAGTTTGGATTTTAGATCTATGTACTTGAGATGGAAGTCCAAGATATCTATCATGAACTCCAATTGCTGACACACCAAGTAAACCAGCTAGCCGAGTAGCTTCCAATTCTAAGACATTAGCACTAAATGTAACAACTGATTTCTGGAGATTAACTCGTTGCCCACTCACCACTTCATACTCATGAAGTATTTCAATTAGACGAACACATTCCGTAGAGGAGGCACGGAGGAATAGGTAGGAATTGTCCGCAAAGAATAAGTGGGAGATCAGTGGAGCTTCTCTGTGAATACGTAGCCCATGAAGGCTAGAGTTTCTAATGAAATTCTCTATAAGGGATGAGAAAGCTTCTGTGTATATAGCGAATAAGAGGGGGGAGAGAGGGTCCCCTTGGCGTAAGCCTCTTTGAGGATGGAAGTATCCATGAATAGACCCGTTTAGGACAATGTAGAATGATACAGTTGTCACACATGATCTTAGCCATTTGAGCCATTTATCTCCAAATCCTAGCCCTTTAAGTAACTCAAACAAGAGAGGCCATTCAACTCTGTCATAAGCTTTTTCCATGTCTAGCTTTAAAGCCATCCATTTTTCCCTGCCTTGAGTTTTGGTTTTGAGAAATTGCATCACCTCTTGCCCGATTGGGATGTTGTCTGTGATAGATCTATCTTTCACGAAGCCGTTTTGATTGGGTCCCACGATGAGAGGAAGGAAGCAACTCAACCTATCTGCCAGAATTTTAGCAATGATCTTGTAGAATACTTGGCAGAGTCCTGTAGGCCTCATTTGTTTCATGGTTTTAGCATTTGGAGTCTTGGGTATAAGCGTGATCAGCGTATGATTAAAGTTATGCAACAATCTTTCCGTTTGAAAGAAGGAGAGGGCAGCATCACAGTGGGATTCCCCAACCACATCCCAAAATGCTTGGAAGAAAATACCAGTAAACCCATCTATCCCCGGGGATTGGTAAGACCCGGTCAAGAAAGTAGCATCTTTTATCTCTTTTCTTGTAACTGTTGCAGCAAGGCAAGTATTAATACGATCATTCACTTTCTTCTGGAGACCCAAGCTCAAAATGAATTCATGAACTAAGGGTTGATTAGATAGGAAGAGTCCCATAAAGTATGTCACCGCCACATTGGCTTTAGCTCCTTCCTCTAAATGAACTAAGCCATTATCATCCTTGAGGGAAAGGATTGTGTTCATCCTTCTCTTCTGGTTTGTGATGGTATGAAAGAAATGAGTATTAGACTCCCCTTCCTGAAGGTACGTGACTCTAGATTTTTGTTTCCAATAAAGCTCTTCTTGTAGATAGGCAGATGCTAACGATTGTTCAAGCCCCTTAATCGCCACCCAGTCAACAGATGGAGCGTTTCTGGCTGTATCAATGGCTAGACGAAGTTCTTTTATTTTCCTAGGCGAGTTAGAAGTACCCTTTTTCATCCATTCAACAAGGTCATGCCTCAAAGACTTGAGGTTATTAAAAAATTGGAATTGCCTTGTACCAGAGGTTTGATTACCCCATTTGTTGGCAAAAGCTTGTCTTGATTCCGAGTATTTTGCCCAACGGCTATCGAAGTGGAATCGATGTTGTCCCAAATTATGAGGCGGGATGAGTTGCAACACAATTTTCGGTGATCCGAACCTAGATCTGATAGGTGAGTTACCTTGGCGAGAGGCCAAAAGGTTTAAGGCCAAAGAGGCGACTAAAACTCTGTCCAGTCTAGCCATAATATGGTCCGAAGCCGATCTGCGATTTGTCCAGGTGAAGTAAGGGCCATTAAAGCCTAAGTCTTGCAGACTTGACTGGAGGCAAAAATTTCTTAGTTGGTCCAGGGCAGAAAGAGCCGGGCATCTGCCTCCTGATTTTTCAAAACTTTCCAGGATACAATTAAAGTCTCTGAAGACAAATAATGGAAGAATTACAGTTCGAATAATGGCAGATAATGCATTGAGTTGGTTTTGCCTGGTCCCTACGTCACAACTAAGGTGAACAAATAAGAAGTGAGCTCTTCCGAGTCTTGGATGTTGGCATTCTAAGGAAATGTAGAAGCTATGTTTGTCTCGAATAATACAGTCTACATTCGATGACCAACCCACAGCTAAACCACCAGATAGGCCAATAGCACTGACGAGACGATTTTCTTTAAAGCCAAGGTTTTTAATTTTGTCTCTGACCAAATCATCTTCGTTTTTTGTTTCGCTTAGAAACAACAAATATATTGAGTGACGACTTACCGTTTCGGCTAGCTGCCTATTGGTTGTTATAGGGCCAATTCCTTGACAGTTCCAGAAGAGGATTCCCATGATCGCAACCAAAAATTTGCCAAGAGAAGTTACTAACGTAAGAGAACTAAGAATAGAAAATAAGATGTTTATATCAATGAGCTAACACAATTGGAAGAGATATATTTCTTTGAATCAAAGCGTAGATCCAATTTTCTCAAATGGATTTATGCTAACAGTACTCTACTGGAAGTACTACAGAGATGACAAGCATCTAGTAATTCGATCAAACAGGTGATATGAGATAGGTAGAATGAAAGACTTAATCCAACAAGCAACAACGTTGATCCGCAAACCAGTCGAAGTACCCAACCGCGAGCAAAAGAAGCATACGATAGGGCCACACAGCTACGCATTAAAAACCAGGGGGGCCCTTTTCACTGGAAGAAACAGTCTGTCGCTTTATTTAAACTAAACACATACCTTCAACAGGGGAAAGGGGATCAGTTTGTGATATGAAAATATTCATACAATAAAAGCAGCATAAATCAGGCAAGCAATGATTGCAGGTGGGAGGCAGTGCCCATAAAACTATCACACAAAAGAATATCGGGTGGAAGGTGCAGCCAATCCCCTCAAAATTAGCACAAGATCCTGAACTTGCCTTTATCAATACATTTTGCCTTTGACAGCGATAAGGAAGCACCAGCCAGTCCCCTCAAAATTACTACCAAAACTTAAGGAAAATCGGTTGGGAATTGCCGGTGGGGAATTTTGCCTCTGAGATTTCGCGCGCTCTTGCCGGTGCAAGAAATCGACGGCTTCCAGAAGTGGCTTCGGAGCGGCCTTGTTTGCTTCTCAAGTATCTCACAGGAGGATTGTTTGCAGATCCGACTCTACACATCAAACATCCAAATCAAATTGCTGAAGAAATGGCAGTTGCATGCAAGTGAGGGGTTACATAAATGGCAGAGTGGCGGCCGTTGATCTCTGTACACTGGACTGTCGGCGTCATTGCTGGTAAGTAATGATGTCTTTGATGATCCAACCTCCAATTTTGATGTTCCTTTGTCTGATTAGAGTGCAAGAGCAGTTGGCGAGAGGAACATGCCTTGAAGTTGCCCGCTCTATTCCTCCTCATTCCGCTTTTCCCCCAAATTCTCAGAACCCAGGTGGAGAACCGCCCAAATTCGTCACTAGTCCTTCAAGGAAAAAGCTTCACAGATGAAGGAGAGCATAAAGTTGGTATAGATGGACTGACCGGAAGGGTTAGACAGTAGCCATAGATGATCTTGACCTTCACAGATCGGACGACACCAGAAGAAGCAGAGGCGGCGGGTCTGGTTGAATAATCAGGAAAAGATTTGAGCTTGCGGAATCGGGTTTTCAAATTGGAGAGGAGAGGCGAATTGTTGAAGCCGGAGCAGGTGATTTTGGAGATTTGTTCGAGGGCGCAGAGGTCCTGGGTCTCGTAGGTGATCTCCTCTACGGCGGAATCGTCGGTGTCGGAGATGTTCCCGAGGCCAAAATCCATCGTCTCTATTTTCAGAAAACAGAGTCGCAAAGTTATGCGCACAGCCGCCGGCATCACCGCCGTGGTAACTGGTCGAAGGCCCGAATGAGATATTGACCTTTGCTATTATCTACAAGATGAAATCCAATTTTATATACTTTTTGGTGAAAAATGACCTTCGTAAATAAGTATAGGGATACATTTATGATTTTGTTTTTATCTACAATAAGTACTTTTTTTCCAAGTAACCAATGTTGTCAAAATCGAACCATAGTATGAACCAGAGTGAACTAAATTTTAGTTGCATTGAGGGTCTTGAGTTTGAGTCTAGGGAGGGGGACATTTTCGGTGATTTTCGTTTGGGAAAGGCTGACAACAACTAGTATTTTGTTGAAAATAAAGGGGTATTTTAGTCAATTTGAGTTGCATTATATAAATTCTCTTTACTTATCGTTTGGTATAAATGAATTCAATAAGTTGTGAGGAATTCATTTTGGAATGAAACATTTTTGTGCTTGGTATTCAACAGAATTCATTTTCAATTCAAAATTTTGAATTCTATGGAATTGGAACTTGTTATAGCAATTCCGAGAAATTGAGATGAAATTTTCAAATGAATTCCACAAGTATTTACTAATTATAACATAATGATATAATTATCCTCTTTATAAACTAAATTACTTATATATATGACACACCAAACGCAAAATTCATTTGACAATGAATTTTATACGACAATTCATTTTATTTCTAATGATTTGAATATGACATACCAAACACAAAATTTCATTTGAAAATAAATTCTACACGGTAATTCATTTTACTATAAAATGAATTCTCGATTCATTTGATACCAAACGGTATGTTAGTAGAAAGAAAACCCTAGCCACAAAATCTACAACCGACATCCCCTTCTTTCTCATTCTCTCCTTTTCCCCCCACTTCTCAAAACAAAATTTGGACTCTAGCCCCATTATTTCCTCTTCTTCCCGCTTCTCAAAACAAGAATCACTCTTTATAAGGAAATTAAACAAGAAAAAACTACAATATCTAAACATGGCCTCCTTGATGTTGTTTCTCTCCCTCTTCGATTCTCCTTTTTTTTTTCTTTTTTTTTTGTTATGAACGATTCTGCTTCTCTCCCTCGATCTCACTGCTTCTCTATCTGAGATAATAAAAAAAAGATCAATGCATCATTTTTATATGAACTTCTCCCGTCCCAGAGATGCAAATGGGTCGTGTTCTCTAAAAGAGCTGCCAACGCGAAGGGTAGAGCCACCATTAGAGTGGGTGTTATGTGTGAGGAAGATCGACGACCTTAACGCTAAAAACCATTCATATGGTTCAAGCAATCCCAACGGTTAACCATTTTGGCCGCTCATCGACCGATTGGTATGAAGTTGGTGGCCCTTTCTCTGTTCTGAGCCACGTTGATGGCCGAGTCCTGTTTTTACCGATTCGCTTGCCCGATTCAGCTAGGACTTAACAACAATGCATATATTTGTACAACGACTACAACCTATATTTGTACAAAATATCTTGGACGAGATTTTAGTTTTGTATATTAGTGTATATTTTTCTAACAGATTTTCTTACTTTATTTTTGCATACCGAAATTCTTAATCTTAAATTACCTTCACCTAAACATAAACAAATTAATTAATACTAATTACCAAAAGCATTGTAGCACAAAAATATAAAACTTAACCTAATGTGTTTCTCTTATTTTCTTACAAAAATATAGATTGCTTTACAAACAAAATGGCTTAATTGCAAGTTTGGTCACTCGAATTGCTACAAAATTTCATGTTTGGTCACTCAAATTGATTTATTCCATTCGTAGTCACTTAAATTAGTTGAACAGTCCAACTTTGGTCACTCTCCGTTAACCTCCGTCAAACTCCGTTAGTCATGTTAGTTAACTGCTGACGTGGCTAACAGAGGTGCTTAGTCATCCTATTTTACAAAAAAAAAAAAAAACATGCCACATCATTAACCCCTCAATATTTTAAAGTCCACCCAAACCCAATCAACCCCTGACCCGAACCGAATCCCTGAACCAACCCATTCACCTGTTCCCCCTCTTCTTCCCCAGCTCCGACCCGAATCGCCATTACTGCCACCAAATCATAATCCCAGATCTACGGCGATATCCCGAGATAGAGATAGCCGACAAGATTGAGTGGGAATGGAGGGAGACGCGATTCCCAGATCATTTGACGGTGATGGCTTTGGACACAGACCTTGACAGCGACAGACAAGGTGTGAAAGAAGGCTAGGGATCCCCGACCGCAATCGAGAAGACGAAGGCATCGTTAGGCTTCTTCTCCCCCGCCGTTAACCCCTCTTTCTTCTCCGAATCGAAACCCACAGATTCCCGTGGGCATCTTTTCCACCTCTTCTTCGCCACCGTCAACCCGCACAAGAGAGAAAGAGAGTACGAAGGGATGACGCCGAGAGGGAGATAGCTCCCGTAGATCTGAATCGTCCGCGACTCTGGAAACGTCAAAACCTAGGAAGCCTTCCATCTCTCCGAATAGAGAACCGACCGGCGAAGCTGTCGTGGTCCTCCTGGTCTATCGTTACCAAGGCGCCGTCGTCATTGATTCACCAGCACCACCGACACTGCTCTTTGATCTCTAATCTCAGCAGGGAACATAGAGATCTGCTATTGGGGAGGTAGAAGACGAAGGTAAAGAAGAAGGCGCGTTGGGAGGGGAGGAAGCGGTGAACATGGACTGTTCTGGCATCCAAAATTCTTTGAATGGAGTGTTTGTTAATGGTGTGAGGGTTGAGACAGGTGTGGTTAGAGAGCTTTGTGCCGGTGATGAGGTGTTGTTTGTTTGTGGAAATGAAGGTATTTGTAGCTTAGGTATTCGAATTGGGTTTGTGATTCAGGGCGTTGTATTGACAGAGGAAGTTATCTGGGGATTGGATAGGGCTCAGTTTGAGAGGAGGAGGAAGAGGTTAGTTGAGAATACCGCCTCGATGAGGCATTCCCAAAGATCAATTTCAACTGGAAAGAGAAGCAAAAGAGTCTTTCCTTTCTCAGAAGGTGAGATAATGTCACCATGTAATGAGTCTTGGAGACCGGGATATGGTGGCATTACAAGAAGAGCAAAGTCTCTGCTTAGTCAATGTCTGCATATATTGCACAGTGATGATCCCATGAGCTATATTAGAAAGAAGAAGAAGGCGGAGGTCAACAAGGGTCGGGTTTGGTTTTTTTCATCAGATGGGTTAAAAAGTTGGCCGGGTTAGAGTTTCTCTCTTGGGAGATTGAATGGGGTCGGAGCTAGGAAAGGAGAGGGGGAACAGGTGAATGGGTTGGTTTAGGGGTTCGGTTCGGGTCAGGGTTGATTGGGTTTGGGTGGACTTTTAAAATATTGAGGGGTTAATTATGTGGCATGTTTTTTTTTTTTGTTAAAATAGGATGACTAAGCACCTCTGTTAGCCACGTCAGCAGTTAACTGACGGTACTAACGGAGTTTGACGGAGGTTAACGGAGAGTGACCAAAGTTGGACTGTTCAACTAATTTAAGTGACTACGAATGGAATAAATCAATTCGAGTGACCAAACATGAAATTTTGTAGCAATTCGAGTGACCAAACTTGCAATTAAGCCCAAACAAAATTATAAGGGCATTGCTATTCGTCGCCCTAAAAATCCTTATTTATCGCCCTAATTATATTAACTTTACTCTAATATCCTTGGTTTCAAATCTAAACCAATAACCATGTAATCAAATGCAGTCAAGCACTGCACCACCATAAATCCGAAAGCCGGAAGCTCCACCGTCCATGTCCCGTAAATCCGGTGTCCACCCGATGTGGAATCGGCGGCTCCGCCGCTACTGAGCCGGGAGCTCGCGGAAGATCGAAAAACTATCAAATTTCATTGTCATTGCCTCGTGTTTAGAGAGAGGGAGAGCAAGCAGAAGCGAGAGGCAGAACCACACAAATAGGAAAGGAAGAAAAAGAGGAATCATAGCTAACTAAAGTTGTGATTGCAGTAACCAAGTCAATTTCACAAACACACAGAAATCAAAACAGCGGCGAAGGGTTTGGGGAACGATAGCGGCGGCCGGCAATCGGCTGGTGGACGAGACGACACAATGAGGTAGGGATTAGAGAAATTAGAATTTGGGGTATAAACATCAATTCAGTATGGTTTAGGGCAAAATTTTTTAAAATTTAGGGCGATGAATAGCGATTCAGAATTATAAAGATCAACGTTTACAAGTATGATAAAAAGCCAAATGCAAGGAGAAAAAAAACAAAACAAAAAAATGTCTCATGTAATCATGAAGCAAAGAGAGGGCCTTTTGATGAATCTTATAGGCTACCCTATTGTTCTGTCATCCTACAAACCACATCAAAACTCCTGGAGAAGATTTTGCAACCAATGCACCTCTTGTAGCACCCAGGGCCGTCCCATTATATTCGGAGGCCCTGTTCGAAAATTTAAATGTGGCCACACAAAATTTTCTCGCAAATGTGTTCAAAATAAAAAATATTAAATAATAATAAAAATTACACAACTTCAAAAATTTATTACAAATTAATATTATTATATATTATTAAATATTATCTACACTTAGAAACTATCCTTTTGAAATTTTTGGGTTGACATAATTAAAAATTATAACCAAAGATTAATAATTTCAAATTTTCAAACAATATAAGTTCTCTGCAAAAGAAAAAGAAAAAAGATTATAACTTAAAACAAGTTGAGTGGGAGACTGGATAGTAGGGATGATGACTTAATCAGAATTGAGTATGAACAATTCATATTTAAGCGTTGGATGCTTCTGGGAAGTTGAGAAATTTTGGGGAAAGAGAAGAATAAATAAGTTAGCTGATATTTAAATTCAACAAACCAATTGTATCTTAGTGGTTGAATCTTTTTATAATTAAGAAGAGGTTGGTGGTTCGATTCTCCTCCCTCCCTCCCTGCGTCTATGTACAATGGGTTTTTGTGTGGCCATGTGGGCTTCCTTAGCCCAAGCGGGCCTCTTGTCTTGTAACAAGGGGTTTTGTGTGGCCATGTGGGCTTCGCTAGCCCAAGCGGGCCTCCGGTCGTATGGATTATGGGCCCCCAAAACTTGAGGCCCTGTGTTGTGGGTCTGACCAGCACAGGGTCTGGGTCGGGCCTGGTAGCACCGCTCCTCTACTGCTATCATGAATCAATGGCATATTATCCTTCTGAATCACTCATTTAGCATCCTCTTTAAAATATACCAACTCAATTCGACTTGTCAACACGACTATAGTGCATCCTGAATTGCCATAAGCCCCCACCAAAGTTGAATCCTCCATAATTGCATAACAACCCTCACGTTTGCCATCACTATGCTTCCCTTTCGCATACAAAATTAAAACGCTCCTCTTCAAATGTGAGCTAACTCGAAGTAAATCGTCAAATGTACATATCAAAACGTCGAATGCATGACACTCGAACCTACAACCGATTAAGTAATATTAAAAAGTTCCAAACATCCAATTTCACAATCTCATATTAAAACTTAGACGCCTCCCATAAATCCACTGCCACAAGGAAAAGAAGTACCAAGTACTCCATAGTCTTCGAATTTCCGCAACATATAGGTATGTACTCCAAGAGCTCTACTTCCTTTAAATGTAAAGCGTCTATTGTAGGAAGAATTCAATAGAGAGCTTGCCAGAGGAAAAACTGAAGTTTGGGTGGGATTGAATATTGCCAAACTTTCTTCCATAAAGTTCGATCCATCAAGCTGGTCTCATACTTCCAGCAACCCATACAACAACTTAGCCTCATAACAAGGTGATACCATGATCCACTACTTGTCATTAACTATGACCCTTTTGGAAAGTGTTTCCTTTTATAAATCAAAGCTAATAAGGAATAAGATTCCTCCAAATATCCGACATCCAATTTTTTCTAGCAAAGCCCGATTAAACTACTCAAATCTATGGGGGCCAAACCTCGCAAATCACGCCTGATTTTCTTTCTTCATGTGTCGTGGATGATGGATGAATGTGCAATTCTAGCTTATTATAACCTTTCATCATCTTCTCTAATTCAATTCGATCGCTTGTTTGAGAGGCATAACTCTCTAGCTGATGTCCGGATAATAAATTGTGGTGTATTTGAGACATCAAAGGTGCATCATGGAACTTTTTTTTGGCTAATGTGGATTGGTTGCTTGGTGGAGCTGAATCGCTTCTCACCTTAACATACATATTCATAGTATTGGCCTTGACGCAAACACTTTGGAAAGGGAACGAATCCGATAACATGGGTGATGCAAGCCCTGGTTCATTGATCTAAGAGGAAAACAAGGCCTCTGACTCCTAGCTTCTAGGCATTTCTAATCCAACTTGAGGTTTTTGTGATTCTAGAGAATACATGAAATACTAGCTCAAAACTTCCCTATGTATTGTTGATATGATATTTATGTATGTCTTTGCATGTTGGGACCAATTCACTCTAGGTAGCTTATTCTCCTTACCCCTTAAACATTTCTTGAATTGCTAAAGAATGAGTCACCAGATTGCTTAAACCAGAAAATGAATGCTACAGAATGAGTCACTGGATTGGTTAAACCTTTCCTTGAAGTTTTGTTGCCATTACTCTAGATTCGTATGCCTCTCACTGCGAATCAGGAACTCATTGCAACTCGCAATAATTAGTCTTCCTACTAAACTCTATACTATTCTGACAAGGACTGACCCGTCTCTGAGGGTCAAGATGTATAACTGACTCGACCCACCCCTGTTTTCTTCTTGAACCTATATGACCCTCTAGGGTCGGGGCGGGTCAGTGAGAGTTGGGTTGGTGGGTCGACCCTTATCAACAAACTGATTTTTTACAAATTATGTTTTGGTGCCCAAAATTATTTTTCTTACAATTTAGTACATAATTTATTTTTTTTACAAACCAATCCTTAAATTTTTATGGTAAAATTACATTTTGGTACCTAGTTTTTTTACAATTTAGTCCCTAAACTTTTAAAATTTTTCAAACAGCTCCATGTGTTGGTATGCGGAATTTCATATGTAAAGGTCACAGTGTCAAAAAGTAACCTGACTCTAAACTGACTCGATCCTACCCGATCCTTACAGGGTCAAAAGATGACTCGACCCTAAACTGACCCGGTAGACAAACTGATCCAGCTTGACCCTCAGGGTCGGGGCGACTTAGTGGATTTTTAGGGTCAAGTTTACACTCCTAATTTTGACAAGACACAACAAGTATGACGAAACAGAAGAACACCCCCCAAAAACAATACAGGAGCATCGAATCCAAGCATTCAACAATAGACTAGAAGGCATCACCCTTGGTGGAAACAACTCCCAGTATTTTTTTTCAATCGACAGGGACGATTTACAAAGATGGGGACGACACAACGTAAGTTAGCTTTTTTATTCTTTGATTAGGGGTCATCTGGTATCGCGACAGAGACAAAGTGACGGTGACGACGCATGAATTGATGGCTATGTTTTGCAGAATAAATGGAGGAAACGGAGAATGATCAACCAAGTTCATTAGGTGGCCTTGGGATTTGATCGACAACGGAGTCGTCAAAAGTGATTTCGATAGGCCACCGGAGAGTGAGATTGAGGAGACAACGATTAATTTTTCAAGTTCTTTTTTATCCTCGCCTTTTACTGTTAACGGTCTTCCTCTAGTCTCCTATTTAAACGAGAAGAGGGTTTGGATTTCGGATCGGCGGCAGTGGAGTTCGTCGGACAAATTTATGTGCTTCACAGTCGGAAGGCGAGAGATCGAGGAAGACGCTAAGAAATGACCTCGTTTGCTTGTTTATTTCAGGAAAAAAACGAATGCAATTAAATGAAAACTAAATGGAAAAGGAAAAACATCAAAGGAAGACACCCCGTTAGTTTGACGGTGGTAGGGTTCGGCCAACTTGTTCGATTAGTATTGGGATTGGGTTAAATGAATCCAATCAATGTCACATTAGCTCCATGTGGCCCAATAAAAATCAGCTCGGTACGGCAGTTTTTATGGCTGCACCGTAGTTTCCCCATCCTTCATATACTGGGCCCATGGAGCGGGATTCCAGTAAAGCCCAAAATGACGAAGATTGTTTTGCATAATATCCACCCAACACGAAAACTGAATGCAGCCCGCCCAATAGTCCAAATCAGAGAACAAGGGAAAATATCACTCACCCTTTGCCCAGTCTCACCCCACACAAGGAAATTCCGAAAGTACCCCCAGTAACCGGCACCAGCCGGTAATCCTCCTCTCACAATCTGTCTGATCCAGCGGCACTATATATAAGCTAGCCAGGGTACAAAAAAGGGAAAACCGCTTCAACCTTTTCCCCAGCGCCTTCTCTCTCTCTCTCTCCTCATCGCCATCAAGACTTCCTCTCCCCCTCACTTTTCTCAGATCTCTCAAACGCCAACCCTCAAAATCCCAAATCCTCTCGCCAATCCTCTCCCAACAGACAGATCTTCCTTCTTATAAATCCTTCAAGAACCTATAAAACTACCGTCTTTTCGAAATCTTCTCCCCCCCTCTTCCCCCCTTTCCTTTTTCCCTCCTCAATTTGGATCTCTTATCCTCATCACTGTACCACTCGATAATCGGTTGCAAGATTCCCACGATCGCTCGTAACCTGGAACCCTAACTTGTTCCCACTTTCGCGATTTTGATCCTTCATCTGATCTGTTTGTGGGTTTACTTTTCGTGGGTAGAGTCCGGTTTCTCATATTTGTGGGTGGAAAAGGGGCAAAAAGAGAAACGAAAGAGAACCCTAATCTGGAAAAAGGAAAAAGAAACAGGATTTGATTTTGTGTTCTGGGTATTTTTTTTTTTTGAGAAACGGATTCAGGGAAGAAAAAACCTGATATATGGCGGAACAAGGAGGCTTGGAAGGGAGCCAACCGGTGGATCTTTCCAAGCACCCTTCTGGCATTGTTCCCACCCTACAGTAAGTTTCTTTCGTCCAAGCTCTCTACAGATCTGAACCTCGTGGGTTAATACGTCATTCTCCTTGAGATCGCTGTTGTTATGGGTAGGAGTGACATGGGTTGTTGTTACCTCATCTTCAGGAACATTGTGTCGACAGTGAACTTGGATTGCAAATTGGATCTAAAGCAAATCGCTTTGCAAGCTCGTAATGCAGAATATAACCCTAAAGTATGTTCCAAAGGGTTTTCGATTAGTGCTTGTGGAACCTCTGAGGTCTCTGTGTATGTCTTGTTGTTGACCCTTTTGGCAACTTGATTTACTAAGCAGTGTTTCTCTGCAGCGTTTTGCTGCTGTTATTATGAGGATCAGGGAACCTAAAACCACGGCACTTATCTTTGCCTCGGGGAAAATGGTAAGCTTCCCCACCTGAGCTTCTCAAGCTTGCTGCTTTTAGTCATGCGTCGTAGCTATTCCTTGCTGCTCTCCCCAATGGTTGCATTGTTTTAATTCTAAAGTAGGCCACTTGATTTATGATTTATCTATTTTGCCACCTTTGTAAGTTAATTGACTTGTCATATGCATGCATAAAGTCCATGTTATAGGATGATGTTTGATGAAGCAGTATGTTTGTTCTCATCATCAATACCCTTCCCCCTGAGCCTAGTGGAATATTATGACGCAGTTGACTGGGAACTGTTCCATTTCTGAAAGTGGAATAACATATGCAAAGTGTCCATTTTTTCTCTTTAGCTCTTTGTTGGTCTGTGATATACTTAAGTTGTTTTTCCATGAACTACCAGGTATGCACCGGTGCTAAAAGTGAACAGCAGTCGAAATTGGCAGCCAGAAAGGTGTGTGTGTGTGTCACATCTAACCTGCCTTTCGGTTGCGCTTGATTAATCAATCTTGTTAAACTGATGTGCAAATGTTGTTTCCCCAGTATGCTCGAATCATCCAGAAGCTTGGTTTTCCAGCGAAATTCAAGGTTTTCTTAACTCCCTTTCTTAACAATTTTGTTCCTTTTGGTCACGTGGGTCTGGAATAATTTGCCTTGCTGCTTACCCTTTATCCCAAATGTTTTTATAGGACTTCAAGATTCAGAACATAGTTGGCTCATGTGATGTGAAGTTCCCAATTAGACTCGAGGGTCTGGCGTACTCTCATGGTGCTTTCTCAAGTGTATGTTTCAATCTGATGCACGGAACTTAAGTTCATGTCACACGTGGAGTCTATTTATGATTCCATTGTTCTTTATAACTCAAATGAATTACCAAATTATACTTAATGCAGTACGAGCCGGAGCTGTTCCCAGGACTGATTTATAGAATGAAACAACCCAAGATTGTACTTCTCATTTTTGTCTCGGGCAAAATCGTGATAACAGGAGCTAAGGTGAGCTTCCGTGTATATATACCTATATCTTGTACTTCTACTCTTTGTGCATCAGCATTGTGAAATGACTTGTGCATCGTTCTCATGACACTACAGGTTAGAGATGAGACATACACAGCCTTTGAGAACATATACCCTGTGCTTACTGAGTTTAGGAAAGTCCAGCAATGGTATGCTCACCCCCCCCCCCCCCCCCCCCCCCCCCCCCCCTCTCTGCTACTCATAACTAACTCTTACAGCAGTGCTTCAATAATGTTCTTCTCTGTATGATTCAGATTTGGGTTCGATATCACGGAGCTCTTGGCCTGGTGGTCTGGGAATGGAGAGCATATTGGAGATTTTCTGATGGATGAGGTCTTCAGGAATTGGCAACTGTCCATTGAAACAGGAGGGAGGGATGGGGTTCTTAAGAGTTGGGTGGCTGGGAGTGTTGATGTTTGTAATTAGGTCAATCTGGTGCTACTCCCGCCAAATCTGGGACAGTTTTCTGTTATATGTAACGTGCCAAACTGTTCTGATAGACTCAATCCTAGAAGAACGAAGGGAAGGAAAAAAGAAATGAAGAAACGGGTTCCAATTTTGGTGTCGGATCACAGTTATTAGATGGAAACGTGTAGCTGTTGGAGAAACAAACTGTTCCTTTTCTGATCTTAAACTTGATTGATTCAAGTTTGCTAAGGATTCTTGAATTGAACCCCCTACTTACTAGAAGGGTTGAGACTAAAACAGAGCTATTAGTTTCTCTCAATTTTCGTTACTAAGCAATGGGCTGTTATCAAATCGCGTTTATATGAATGGATTGAAATGGATATTGACATAATACAAACACTCATTTTGTAGAATGTGATAGGTTGTTTTGGCTAAAACAATATAGTATAGGGACTTAAAATAGCACAAGTTTCATAGCACATCGGCAAAATGTGGGCATGAAAAGAGAAGGCAGGGGATGGCAAAGATGTGATTAATAATCCAGCTGAAAATGCTAATAAAGAGATATTCCTCGGTTGTGTGGCGATGGTTCCTTCCGTGAAGCCTTTTCTTCACTCCACGCACAGATATTTCTTTCTTTCACTTCTTTCCAACTTCCAATGACAATGTCTCCCTCCTCTTCTCTTCAAAATGGTCGCTATAACTTCTGAATTACATATCACAAATCTCTACCAAGACCGCTCCACAGCGAAACCCACAACTACTCTTTGAGTTCAGCAGCAGTTGCTGAAGTTGAACGATGGCTCAATTCACAGCTCAAGGGCGCCTGAAACTGCTGTTGAACAGCGATGGAGGTCGCTATAAGCTAGTGGGCGGTGCGTTTGGCGATGGGTTCAGATCTTTTCATCTCCACAATGGAAAACTCAAGTTCTTAGGCTCTGCTACTACTAAGCTACATGTTTTCTCCGCTAGTGACAAACCCAGAACCAGAAGCAAGTTTTATGCGGAAGCAAGGCTGAGTAGTTGCGGCGATAGCGAGAGTGAGAGCGAGAGCGAGAGTGGGAGTGAGGGCGACGGGGGGAGTTATGATGATGATGATTTTTACGGGACTGGTTTTGATACTGATGAATTGGCTTGCTTTAGAGGCTTGGTCTTGGATATCTCCTACAGGTCAGCTTAATTTCCCCTGCCCTTAATTCATGCATTTCATTTCCATTCTTTGTGTAGGCTCTGTTGTCTTTTAGATTGATTCTTCATTCTTGGTTTCTTATGCATGCAAGATGAGAGCCTTTCAACTTGAACTTGTTTGTGCTACTGTCTAAACTTCTGTTGTATAGCCTTTACTGGATCAATTTTGCTTGAATGCCTGAAGTACTTGTTTTGGGATCACTTGCCAAGCATTGTGCTGTTGGGAGTTAATTATGTGCTATGAAATTTGATCCCGAGGTGGGAATTGAAAGAACTTTGTGAGAGAACAGGAAAGTGGTGCTCTTTTCATATGCTTCTTCGGTTTTAATGCCTTAATTCAAGAGATTTAATGGCCCAAGGTAGTGATAGTTTCTTCTTGGTTGGTGTAATGAAAGAAAGGCGGGACCATAACTTGGCAATTGGGGATCGAAGTTGAGTTTGCATTATTTTTAGTTATCCAGACAAGGTTACATTTCCTTGGGTGTATCTGGAGGGATGCAGAACCCATGTGTATCAAATTTCAATATGGACAAAAGTAGAAGTGAAACAGGTAGTTTTAGGGGAAGTTTCTGAACAAAAAGTTACAGATGTGGTGGAATGCAACGAAGAACATTGTTATCCGGGGTGATTAATTTGGAACTCAATGCCTATATGCTTTGAAGACTTCGGATAAAAGTGCTTGATTGCTATCTGGATTCTGGTTGGTTAGTAGTGAGTTGTGGAGTCGTAGTTGAAAAGATGTGCTCATGGTTTCCCATTTGAAAAAGCTCAATGATCCACTTATATTATTTCGCAAATTTTCTTGTATTTCGCATTTTTCATAGCATGCATTGATCTGGTGATAGGCAAAAGTCTAAAGCTTGCACATTATAATGATGACGTTGAAATCTGTAGAGAGGATAGACTCACTGTACTTGATGATTAGTTTTCTTGCCACTATAGTTCCTGATTGAGTTACCATGTTATCTTTCGTCCAAATGACTTTGCATGGATTTGTCAGTCGGTAAATCCTGATTTTATTGTCCTGCACCAGGCCTGTCAATGTTGTCTGCTGGAAGCGCGCCATATGTTTGGAGTTTATGGAGAAGGTTGGACTGATGTGATCCCCCCAAGTCCAATTAGGTTAAGTTCATAATGCAGTTTTTGCTATTATTCTCTCATGGAAACAATGGGTTTTACCATGAGGAGAACCACAGTGAGCATTACTGAAGGTGTTACTTCAAACTTCAGTTTGCTCCAGTAGGTTTTGCAAGCATATATGCTCAGCTCTTATCACCTTGTGACTTGATCTGTTCTTCCTCTCACCTGTTTTTCTTAATTGCACTACATTGATTGATTGATATACTCTCTCTTTTCTGCCTATCTCCAACATTAATTCAAAGGCTGCAACATATTCTTATGATTGCAAATACGACTTTCTGAGTTCTTTACTCTCTAATGTCCAGGCTGATGTGTTAGAATACTATGATCGAACAGTAAACTCTCCTAGCGGTTCATACTACATACCTGCAGTATTGAGGGTATGGAATTAAAAATGCTTTCATTTGTTTTCTTCTTTTTTTGCTGGTCATTTGCTTTTCACGGTCCTCTTTGCCTCTAGCTTTCTCATAAATCGGGAAACTTCTTGGAGCTGTATAATCTATGATCTATACCATATACTCTCTCCTTTTCAGGTTCCACATCTGCTGCAGGTTGTTAAAAGGCGAAGAATAAAAAACACGCTTAGCCGGAAAAATATATTGCACCGCGACGGCTATGTGTGTCAGTAAGTTGTCTGCTGATTGCTGTTTCCTGGTTAATCAGTAAAATGATTAAGTATAGACAGTATAAGTCAATTTTAGCATGTGCTTATTAACTTCTCCCAATATAACTTGAAATGCTGAAACTGAATCTAGAGGTTCACGTTATGGAGTTTGTTCATGATAAAATCTTGTATTCCCAACTGCTTGCTACCATTAGCCTTTCCTAATCCACCTCCAGAGATTTGTTCTATGCAACCATCTTGCTTCATCATAACAATGCTTTTGCATGGCTGAGAACTGAAATTCTTTGTTAAAGTTTACTTCCCTGGAAATTAATATCTCTATTGCCATAGGTACTGTTCTTCAAGTGAGAACTTGACCATTGACCATGTATTTCCAGTTTCACGAGGAGGAGAGTGGAAATGGGAGAATCTGGTATGCCGTATATTTCCTGTCTTGTCGATATATAATTATATACACAAGATGTTCTCTAGGTTTGACCTTCTCTTACTTCGCATAGATTTCGAAGTTGTTTTCAGAGAACTTACAATATGATGAAGGGTGGACATTTTCAGTGATATGAAGATTCAGAGATATAATGCAACTAAATGACCCAACTTATTGTCCTTTACTGTCCTGGCTAGTTGTTACTGCTAGTAATAAGAGAAGATGAGAACTAGGTTCTATTAACTCTTACCTTTGTGGCTTCCTTCATATTTTAACAGGTTACTGCTTGTTCCAAGTGCAACTCAAAGAAGGGCCAGAAGACTCTAGATGAAGTAAATATGAAGCTGAAAAAGCTCCCCAAGGTACCTAACTTTCTCCTATAACAATCCAGCAAGAGCTGTAGATCAAATTCATAACAAAAAAAATTGACAAATACTTATTGTTTGGAAGTTGAACAAGGTCTATGACGAGAAAATGAGATCATAAAGCCGTGATCTTTTTGCAGGCCCCGAAAGATTACGACTTACTTGCCATACCATTAACAGGTGCAGCACTAAGGATGTTAAGGAGGAGAAAAGGGACACCTGATGAATGGCGTCAGTATCTGCCAGCTGAGCCATGACGGCCTCTTTTACCAGTTCATGGGAACTCTGTACATTCTCAATCATTATGTTCTTCTTACTTAATCATGGGGTTGGTGTACAAATGATGTCACAATGGAAGAACCATTATAACTTAAATCCGTTTGCATACTGTTGCTAACTCATCCATTCCGATTCTGTAACTCCCCTTTTAATGTCTACTTTGGTGCTTCTCTAACCTGCCAAGTATTCTTGTGTCAACAGACCTATCTGGTGCAAGGTGAATCTGAGAGGTGTTGAATCAACTACACGTATAGGAGAGATGATTATCTCGTTGATTACTTGGTTAGATTTCATCGGAATTTTGTTACTGGTATGGTACGTGCTTCTTTTGGCAACCTGCCGCCCTATGCCCCGCATGGGTTTAAGTAGTGGCTAGGATTGATTGTACTTAAGGTAGATCCATCCGTCTGGGGAAAAAATGATATAGAGAACTAAACCAATGTTTACAAATTATAAACCATGTTTTTAAAATGTGAAAGTTTTGGAAATCACATTCATTGTACATTGTAAAAACTGGCTATCAAGTATGCCCCCTTTCATTATATTCTACAAAGATCTTCGTGAATTATCAATCATTAGACTTTGAAGTGTGTTTAGAGGTGGCAATTCTCAATCCAATCCACCAACCCATTAAAAAATATCAACCTAATCTAATCCATTTAAATTTGTTGGGCATGTGACTCGGATCCTTCCCCACTGAAGAAACACCAAGGATAATCACGCCAAAGAGGAGCGCGCAAGTACATCGGAGTAAAGCGCGCCGGAATCAGGCGCGGGAGTCACGCCGGAGTCAAGCGCGCGGGTCGCGCCGGAACCAAGCACGCTGGTGAAGACCACCCCCGGAGGGGCGCGCGCGAATACTAAACGACGACGCATCACCCGGGCGTGGGCCCTTATCGAGAAGCCGCAGAAGCGGCGCCGCGTCATCGCGTCACCCAACGAGTAGTCACCATCATAGTCCTAGGTATAATCCTGCTTGTGTCAGGAGTAGTCACATCAGTGTCCTAAAAGCATGGACTAAATCCCTGGCATGTCAGTGGTCATATCATTGTGTCCACTTGTAACCCAACCACTCACCCACCACCATGTAGCCTATAAATATGGCATTTACTCCGGTGGGTGAGGGGATCGGATTTTTCAGACTCTATCTCTAAAATCATCAACTTCTCTCTCTAAAATATTTCTCTCTCAATCCTTCTCGTAATCTCCTCTGTTCTTTCATCGACGATTATCCCCTCACTGCTTACTCTCCTTGACCCATTTTCCCGAGTCTCCCTCCTACACCCAGTTAGGCTCAAACAATTGGCGCCCACCGTGGGGCCAAGTAGAGAAGCAAAGAAAATCAACTGATGGCAGAGCACAACTCCAACTCACCTGACGAATCAACC